TTTATCTCCAGCGTGCGAGACTCTGTATCGAAAATTCTAAAGATATGCTCAATTTAAAACTATTTTGCGATATTGTTCTTGACCTGAATTTTATGGTTTAAGTGCGAAGAACTTGATATTTAATAAATAAAAGTAACATACAAAATGTTAAAAAAACGCCCCTTTGGACGTAATTTAAAATCTGAAACCCTCTTTTTTTTTTTTTTTTTTTTTTTTTTTTTTTGGGGGAGGGGGCTAATTTAAAATTTTACATTGCAGTATTTCTCTTCTATTTATAACTACCCGCTTGCGCCAGCAGTTATCTAAAATAGTTATTATAAAAAAAAAAATTATATATAAGGACTTTAATGAGTCCAGCTAATATAATTTCGCAGGTCCAGTTAGTAATTAATAACAGAGAGAAAAAAACTGTGTTTATTGCTTTAAGTTGGGATATCTTCAAGAAGTGTACTGATATGGAGGCATGATACAGACCTTACAAATGCATGAGTTAGTTCTCTTGTGAACCGGACCCAGCGCTCGATCGACTGATGCCATAATGCTAAAAAATGCATTGATGCTCAAAATAAATTGAATGCTGTCAGAACTGATAATTCTGATTCTCGGATAAATAAAACCTAGCAGAACAGGTAGTACAGCAGCAATTGCTTCATTCGTAGCTACCGAATATCGCTGACCACCCAATTATGGTTAAGTGTATCAACAACTGCACACGGTCTTATTATTTAGAAGATTTGTCTAAAATGTCTGAGGCGGAATTTGTTGGTCGAAGTAACGTTGAATTTATAAAAGTTCTTTTGAGCACAGGAGTGAATTACAGTAAATTAACCTCCCTATTTAGAGAACTGAAACACTAACATTAAACCTGTTTGTCAGAAGACTAGTTAAAGTGTTACGTAGATGGCTTTCATCTCGTACATCTGTGGAAAAGAGTAGTGATGCAGTTGAAAGAAAGGTTTTCTTAGCCAATAGAATAGCTCAGCTGGCTAAAAGGCAAGCGAAGGCTTCTATGTTCCTATTTCTAGTTTAACTGATACGAACAAAATTTTAAAAATATGCAACCTAAAAGATCTTCCTCTTCTTTCTATCAAAAGGGGAAAATATATCTCTAAGAATCAAATTCTCCAGTTGTAGCAGTCTTCGGAGTAGTGTCACCTGAATCAATGCATCAAATGTAAACAAGGGCCCAGTAAAGGAAAAATTGAAGAACCAGTTTGTTGTTAACGCAGAAGGAACTCGCCTTCGTACTGCGGTTGCCCAAAATTTCGCCTAAATAAATCCAAATAAATCAGCAAAGAAAGATACCATAAAGCCCGGTATTAGTCCTGCTAAAGCCCTTTCAAGGTTGCAAACCTGAAACTTTTAAAAGTGTTAAAATTGCCTTCTGCACTGGCCCTGTCTGTTTCTGCAGAATTGTGTACTGATATGAAAAAAATGTTAAAAAGTAAAACGGATAATTGCAACTAGTACTAAAAATAACGTAGATATTTCTAGCTTTATTCCTTCATGGAAATATTTAAAACTATGAGTTTTACTGAGCATTTGGTAAAAATGAATTTAATGGTATTGTAGAGTTTCTCACTTTGTAAATGCTATGTTAATGTTGAAAGTGAAGAATCTTAAGCACTGATAAGCGAATAATCGCTAAAGTTCGGGTGACAAGAAACAACAAGATAGAAGGGTAACTAACCCTTTATTATTCCAGTAAGATTTAACAGAACTTCGCCTGGGAGTGTACAAACAAAGCCGACACTTGGGCTTGAACTTAAGAGACTAAGAATTAAACTAAAACTAAGATTAACTAAAGAAATATAGCCGAAGCTATCAAGATTCAAATCGAGTTGGCCCTTTAACTTATTTGACTACGAAGCAAGGGCCTGAATACGGCCGAGCGTAATAACAGCTTTGAGAGACAGAGCGGTCAAAAAGGCAGACGCACGTAAATCAGAAACTCTGATTCTCTCTCACTCAGTAAGTTTAAATACCGCTCCTCCTCATTAAATATTAATCAAGATTCCAAAACTACGTTCTGGCCGGAAGTAGTAAGTTGAAGTTAAGAATTTGACAGGAAAGGAAAACTTAAAATTTAACTGTTAATAAAATTAACATAATCCTTACAGTATACCATAGTCAACAGATAGAACTTAAAACTTGTAATATTTAAATTGATAAATTCCATATTTTCTTGCAAATATTCATGAAAATGAATGATTATCAGCAATGAATAATTTGGTATATTAATTTGCAACTTTAGTGATTCATTTATAAATTATTATTGAGAATTTCCCTATATCCTTTCCTCCTTTTCGGTCCATTCCTTCCAAACTGTATGGTTTTTAAGAGAATCTCCCTCTACCCCCCTGAAAGTCTTCTAACTGTGGTTCTCTTCTCTCCCACTTACAACTAAACACCATGCTCTTCATTGATTTCCTGCCATCTTGTGACTTTCTTTCTGACCAGTCTCTTTGGTTCGAAATTGATTCGAATTTCATTTATCAGTGTTATACAGGATTAGGGATGCTTAAGTATTCTTTTTCCATAGGCATGGCATGCGGCCATCTAAATAAATATAACTTTTGCATCCCTTGGTTTTTTAATAAAGAACATATTGAATATAAAAGAAAAAATTAATATCTAACATTTTGCCGATTGACAACAAATTGGAGGGTATAAGATAAAAATATTTTATTTCGGGCACTGGCAACACATTTCTTTTAACCCTCTGACCGCGAGTACAAAATTCGTTAATTAAAATTGGGAGTGGGAATCCAAGCCTTTTTTTTCCCTCCAAAATTAATCGTAGTTGATAACTCAATTTTGCTGATGCGGAAAAAATGCTTGCCATATATATTCCAGATAAAAGATGAATGTGATGTTCATAAGATCACGCATTCGAAGGAGCAAATCTCTGATTTTTTCTGATTAAATATAAATATCTTACACTTTACCAAATGGCAACACATTGCTTTTAAATCATTGAGTTTGTTAATTAAAATGTCATCAAATTTGCACAAAATGTTAAATAAATTCAAAATTTGGGCTTTGAGGTGCACATGTTCAAAATTAGGTGTCTCTAGATGCCACCGGTTTTTCACAGTACAAAGACATACTGCATACATATAGATTTATCGTTATAGTTATATTAATAGAGACTAGTTAACAGAATGCAAAATAAGTGCTTACATGCTTTTGAACATAACTCAAAAATTGCGTCTGTTTAAAACCGTTAAATCTGGCAATAACAGTTACAATTTATGTCTGGGATTCTCACTCTGTTTTACAGAATTCTCACTGTTTTCAGACTGAAAGGTTATATAGATGAAATGTGCACAAAACGCATTTGCAAAAATGTGTAACAAATGCTGGTCTGTAAACCTGGAAATGCTGTTCAAAAAGTATCGACCCTAATTTTTGATTTTTTCCTCCCATGTAAGCCAATGAAGCACAAATTTTCTTCAGTGTATGATATAGAGTAGACACTCATGCGCATTCATGAATTTTTTCAGGCCCGCAAAAAGCGTCAGTTGCTGGCAGTCGGCAAGCAAATGAATACGTGTAGTGTGTAGTGAGCGTTTGTTGGATGTCAGTGTTTGTGGAATGGTTGGAAAATGACTTAAAAACTTGAGCAGCAATATTGCATCAAATTTTGCCAAAAGCTTGGCGATACCAGAGCAGAAACCATTCGCAAGATTCAGCAGGCTTTCGGAGATGATGCCATGAGCGCCTTTCGCATCAAGGAGTGGTACAACCGCTTCAAAGACGGCTGCACATCAGTAGACAGTGAACCATATTCAACTAGATCTTCAACAAGCCGGAATGACAATGCTGTTGAGCAAATGCAGTCTCTGGTCTTGCAGGATTGTCATATCACAGCCCGAGAAATTTCGAATGAGACAAAGATTAGTGTCGGATCATTACATACATAATGTCGGATTACATTGAATATTGCACGAGGATTTGGGTACACAGAAATACACAGAATTTCGAAAGTTTTATTTAGAAAAGTCCTGTTGACCGTCTTCTTTGACTCCCGTGGTGTGGTATATCATGAATACGCCCCGGAATGCCAAACCATTACAAAGGAAGTAGTACCAGAAGGTCCTCGTTGGCTTCATTATGCTTTGCAGCGCAAAAGACTGGATCTATGGGCAATGAAAATTTGGCTACTCCATCATGATAACGCACGTGCCCGTTCTGCGCATTTGACTCACAATGTGCAGAATGGGCAGATCTTCGCTGAACAAACATCCGTATGCTTCATCAGACTCCCTATTCACCCGACATGGTGTTGTGAGATTTTTAGCTGTTTCCCAAGCTGAAAATGCCGCTGAAAAGAAACCCGACTTGAGTTAAAGACATCATGCGGAGACTTGAGTCAAAGACATCATGCGGAATGCGACGGAAGGATTGCTCACCATTCCAAAACTGTGCTCCAGAAGTGTTTCCAACAATGGCGGGAGTGCTGGGAGAAAGATTGTTTTGAAGGGAATTAGTGTTTCGGACTTCCAAATTTTTGCCAACCAAAGGTTCGATACTTTTTGAACAGCGTAGTATTTTAAAAAGCTGCTAGTCGGCGTCTCGAGCATATCATGTACTTTTTTCTAACTTTAAACATTTTAAACAAGCGTAACATAAAAAGTTTCTGGAATATGCTATGGTCATGCTAAAAACTTAGTATGTCATCAAGTCATGTATAAAGGTAATTAATTACTGTCAAGCATGCGAGAAGTGTTTGCTTTTTCTGGGGCAAGATCAAAGAATGGCATTTTTTTTATCATGGTAATGCCTTGTCATACTACTACTCATTCCTATGCACTTGTTTCCTAGGTGTATCATCTAAAAGTATAGAAAAAATTATTTAACCATGGATAATGAGAATATGGGCGCTTTACTTTGCATAAAAAATATCTGAAAATGTATTTTTGTATAAAGGACAATATGATTTTTTTTATCAAATGTTAGATTCTTGATTGTATCTAATGTTTTTATTTCTTTTTCAGGTGGGCAGTGTACCATCCATCAGACAGCGAAAGTGTAACAGAGGTGGCAGACCGAGAAAAAAGAAAATTCCCCAAGGTTGGCCCCTGTGTTCAAGGGGCTGCCTTATAATCCACATCGCCGATCCTGATCCGGCAATCTTGAAAGGTGGAGATTTCTACTTTGTTGCTGAACCGGTGAGAGTAGCCCTGAAGTGGAAAGAAGAAGCAACAGATTCAATTCGTGAACGATCATTGGACGCGCGGGAATTTTCAAAAGAAATGGCAGCACTGTTGTCTCCTTCATCCCCTGATGATGACGACGACGAGAGTGTCGAGCGCAACACATTGCTGGTGGCTGCTGAAAATGGAATTCACAGGATAGAAATTGCTCATCTCTTGGAAGAGTTGTTCGAGGGATGTAGGAGACGAAGTCGTGTGCGAAGCACGAGGGACAGTTGGGTCCAGACTGAAAAAGAGTTGGGCAAGGTTGCAACCTCTGTAGCTGAAGAACAGAAATGTGAGGAAGTTCTTCAGCCACTTGCACCACTAGCAAGTGAAGAGGAATTTTGTTCAGGTGACTTATTAATCCAGTATTTTGCATACTTTTAGATTCTAATAAAAATATGTTGCCAATTAACACATGTAAGTCTTTTTCAGGTTAATTTGACCATCTTTCTCAAGATCATTAAAATTAATTTCAATTGAATTGTTCGCATTCTTGTCGAAAAAACTAGATTCAACTAATGATGTTGGTGGCGTTCTGCTGTTAGAAAAGCTTTAGCAATACTGCTTGAAGAATTTGTTCAGCAGAAACGTTTTTTCGGTAATTTTCAGAACAGCTCTCTTCTCTCTCTGTCTCTCATAACGCAATCCTTAGAAGTTATTACGATTTTTAAAACAGAGAGGGAGAATTTAAATTGTACTTCTGATTTACAGATTTTTTTATCTTACATATATATATATATATATATACATACACACAACAATTATTCATTTGCTTACAAATAATAGTTATAAGGTGAGTGGTAATGAACTGTAATTGCAGTTAATAACGATACTTCTGTTAGGTTGTGTGCTATGTCGCCAGAATATATCGTGCACCTGTTAAGGGTATTAGGTAATTTTCTTCCCAAAGCCTGAAAGCTCTCATCCTTTAACATCTTACGGCAATGCAAAATACTTAAATCGGCTGATTGATACTTTAAAATACTGATGACTTGAAAAACAGAAGTTCAATGATTTTCAGGGGAGGAGGGGAAAAGGTGATCCTAAAATGTCATTAAGTACAACAATTTCTTTCAAATTTTTTACGGTATTTTTCTTTTTACTTTCTAATTTTAATGTAATTTTATTACTATTGGGGAAAAAATATACTGGCAGAATCACAAAAATGGAAAGGAAATTAAAGGACAATCGAAGAATGGGTAAGTCAGAGATGAAGTTCCATTAAATGCTTATCTCATGATTCATTTTATGCATGTGACACCTTTAGCGTCAAGTCTTAAGAATAAACTGTGGACCTGATAAAGAATGATAAGTTATGATATGACATGCGGAAAATTACGTATGCTTTGTCATAATAGCTTAAAACGTATGTTTTCTGCTAGGGGTATACTGTATTACATATTACAGTATACTTTTTTTTTAAATACAGTACAAAGTCCGAGATCCGGACTCGTCGGGACTTCGGCGATTCCGGATTTGAGATTTTTCCGGATATTAAATAATCACTTTAAATCGGGTAAGATGGCATGCAGAAATTATAAAATTAAAAATATAAAATCGTGATTTATGAAGTAATGAAGCATTTATGATTTAAATGGTACCAAATTTAACAAAAAGCTTAATATTTATTTGTTTACTTTATTAAACATTTCTTTGAATGTAAAGCATTAATTGTGTCGTTTTTTGTGCTAATTTTTTCTCTTCAATTATGTGGGCAGACATAATCTTTTGTTCAGTTACAAAGTTCCACTGTTAAAGTCCTATAGTTGCTCTTGCCAGAATTCTGACTAACTTATAAATCGAATTTGTTTCGTTTTCAGTAACCTTTCTGTCAGTTTTTCACTATCGGTAGCGGTATTTTCTGCATCATTTGTAGAACTACCCGTACAGATTTCGCCAGTCCGTTAATTGATTGATAATTGGAGCATTGTCATAGCAATGAAAAACTTTGTTATATCATCTTCATTTATTACCGCTTTTCTACATTTCATTACAAAATCCATTAATTGGAAAATTTCACCTGTGGTTTCCAATATCCCAAAGCCTTCAAATTCGTGGCTGTCAGCTTCATCATCCTCACCATAAAGTATGATAGCTGGTTATAAATTATGCCAAGCATTTTTTAAAGTATTTGGAGGTACATCCTCCCACGATCTTGCGATGCTCCACACAGCAGATTTTATGTTAAAGTATTTCAAAAATTCTGGAATAGTTTTGCCCATTATTCAAGAAATTTGACATGGATTTTAAAAATGCGACTTTAGATTTACACTTCAGCGCGAGCACTATTCCGACATCCGTAGGCTGAATGATGGACATACAGTTTGAAGGATACTTTATCTTTCATTAAAACTTTAAGTGAAAGATAGTTCAGAAGCTTGAGTATCAGCTGAAGCGTTTTCAACTGAAATTTTTAATTGCATTATACCACGGCGATTTTAAAATTTGTTTAACTAGTCTATCGAATATGTGCACTCAGTTTTTAAGCTCATTTCTTTATAAAATATTTTGGCTTGAGGCATTATCATTGGACCCGTCAATGGCACGCCCTCTCATCGTCTCTCTCTGGCCATTCAATCGACACTTTGCCATGATCGTCACTTTTAGCATAGGGAATAATTTTTCTGTTATTCATTGCGAGCGGAGATTTCGGAATCCACACAAAATCCATAAAGTTTCTTTTTCTGTTATGTCATATGCAGTTGACTTTCCAGGGCAATACTCCTCGCATAATTTTGAGAAGGATATACTTATATCCAATTTTTTTGCAGCAATTTCAGTTTCTGTTTAATGGACATCGAAACATGCTTTCGCTTTTGATCCTGTGGCAGCTCCAGAATTAAAAACTCTTTTCGACATAATCGAAAGTTATAGTTTTTATAAAATTGCTGTAATTATAACAGCCTGCAAAAATAATAAGCTGGATCAAATCAGAAAGTTAACGAATAGCGCAATTTGCTATATTAATTGAAATTCTTTGGAATGAGTAAAGTATAATTTTAGCCTATCTTAAAAGCGTCCGCTATACATGATTGGCTATGTAGCATGGCGACGAAATATTCCCTTAAATTTTGCCTTGCTTCTATCGCGCACTGACACAATTAAGCATGAATTGTATTAATTTAGTAATTTATTATACTTATGTCTATTTCTTGCACATGCTTAAGGCTTATCCGAGTCTTGAATGAATCAATTTCCACATATAATTAAGCTTAATAAGCAGGTTCGGGTGTAGATATTTTGGCGCCTGATGCAGTCTCTGCGGGTCATAAATTCTGCTAAGCGCCTCCGTAAGTTCTAAATTTTTGCCGCTCTTAATTTTGGGTCCCAGTACTCACCCTAAATTCTAAAAATTTATCATTCCTTAATTTTGTTACTCGGTGCTTCTCTAAATTCCGAAAATTTTATCTTCCCTAAATTCTGCCGCCCTGTGCGGCCATACGAGCTCTGGCGCCGGTTCTAGGTTTATATGAGTTAAAAAAAATAAAATTAAAATAAAAAAAGTCAACTATTTTTATTTAAAATAGCACTAAATGTAATCTTTTGACCTATGAGTATCATTAGCAAAACTTATTTTTAGCATATGGAAAGAAATTTTAAAAAATTTTCCCTTGTCAACATTTAGCGCATTTAACTTAAAAATCTGTAATCATCGCCGTGCGTAATGTCAACATAAAATGTTTCCATACTCTTTTTATTCAATTACTAATAGAATAAAGTTCTTTAGGCGTCGCTGCATGAGTTGTCATGTGTTGATAAACATACAGTTATGAAAGCAAAATATAATAAATAATAATTCGCCAGGCTGCCGACGGTATATAAAATATGAGTAGTTGTGAACGTTTTTTTTTTTTTGTAGAATGTTTCGGTTTGAGATGTATGCCAAGTAGATACGCAGCTACGGAGCCAGATCATTGATCACACAAATTAATGCAAAAAACATTGTTTCTTCAATAACAAGAGTATTTTACTTAGTGCCGAAATGAAATTAAGAATCGTGATTCTCCGCATGTTTTCTTACGGGAAGAAAATCAAGCCCAAAAGCTGCCTTTTTTTTTTTTTTTTTTTTTTTTTTTCTTTATGTGACTTTAAGGTCCGGATTTTAGATCATTCCTGATATTGGACGTCCGGATCTCGGACTTTGTACTATTTTCCTTAGTTTTTGGCAAAGACCTGTTTGGAAATTTCTAAAGATCGAAACGTAATTTTTTTAAGTACCTTCACAGAAAGATTGTTTGATTTTATAGCAAACCGTCCTTCAATATTGAAATTCCAACTCAGTTATTATTATAGGGTACCTGTTTTTCTTTGCATGGAAACTCTAGAGTGGGCCACAGTGTTTGCGTGTCTTAAATCTTGTGACAAAGGTGGACATAAAGGATAGTTTTGTCTCAAATCATTTTATATGCTGTATGCATTTTAGAAGGTACAAATAAATATTAGGTTTTTTATCAATTATGCTTTAAATAAATTTAACTAATTTCGTATTAGTTAATTTCAAACAATAAAGTAATATTTTCCAGCATAGGCCTTTCTTATATGAATTGATAATTACTGAAAAACCCGCATTTATGTTATGTCCAAGAAAGTGCCCTCCAGTGACCCAATAAATGAGAAAATGAGATTGCTAAACAACAGTAGTTCGTAGCCCTTGTGTATCATGAATACGGGCTAGATTTTAATGAATCTTTCATGAAGGCGTTTTTCTGCTGGCGAATAGCCGTCGTATCCCTTGCCATAATCGAACAACCAAATATTTGCAGAAGTGTGGGTCATCTTGATTGAATTTTAAAGAATTTAAGAGATCTATATCTTATTATTTCAGAATAAATTAGTTTTAGAAGATGTGTATTGTTTGGAATTTAGAAGATGCGTATTGTTTGGAACTTTGTATACATCTATGCAGTTTTAATGAAATTATATGCAAATTATAGTACCTTTTGTGTAAGTAACCCAAATTTTGCAGGTTTAATTTCACAGATTCGAAGAAAAGGAATAAAAAGTAATATGCTTCATAATTTTTCAGTACACTTTTACGATTCAAGGTATAAATAATTCACTGAGAAAATGTAAGCATTATTTAGCAAATAAAGACTTGAAAATATTTTTTTCATTCTCTTATTACAATATAATTATTTATTGATCATTATTGCTATTTTTGATCGTAAGAATAACTTGAATGAATGATTAAGAAATACATCCACTGTCTTAATATTATAAATATTTTAGAGCTTTCAAAAAGTGTGCAAAGTATTCTTAACTCATTTCGGATTAGTATCTAATGAAGTAAACAACAGCATCCGAAGCCGCAGAAAAAAAACTTAAATCTCAAAACTGTGTAAATCAAACTGTAATTTTGCTGCAGCATTACAAGAAGTGAACTGTTTGTATATTATCTGTCGCAAAAACAATAAAAAGTTTGTTTTAATTGTAACTTCAAGTCAATCGCTATATTTATTAATAAATACTGAGCAAATAAACTTTATTATGCATCTGCAATTAAAAATAACCTTGCTACAACCGAACCTCAGAAATCTTCGCTTGCAGTCGTGTCCAGTGTGCAGCGCGAAGGATGAAAGTATAAACTGTTGTTAAGTCACGCGATTCTGTTGCTGACCAGGTCATCAAAATTCTCGAAGGTCACGACTTTAATTTAAAATCGGTTTTCAAATTTTGCCTCTTTCCCCAGTTATCAGTAAGTATATTTTTGTGATAGCTTTACCATGCACTTGCATGAATCTATGTTCCTTCATGCATTCGTTTTGGCTTTTAATCTGGGACTTAAATCTTAAGCAAAGTCTACGAATAATAATATAGCCTACGAAATGTGTTTCATTAAACAAATGTGTCTTAACGCTAACGACCGCCTCACGAGCTTAGATAGCTATCATCTTCATTAAAAAAAGATGTCTTTGCAGAGCTTTCATTGATGTCCTTGAACTCTCATTTGTTTTGACTTTCACCCTGCCTCATTATCTTATCGACCGCTTATACATTTAACGCTGTTGTTCCTCCCCCCCCCTGTACGATTTCTGTAGCTGGCTTTTGTCTTAAGTATGACTTCTTTTCTTTTACCATCTTTTTGTTAAGGACATTTCCCCCCTCCCCTACCTAATGTAAAAGTAGGAAAATTTTAAACTTCCAATATCCCTGTTTATTGCTAGATGGTTGATGGCTACTTTAGAGCACATGCATTTGTTTTTTAAAGCATAGGAATTTTGAAATGTGAAAGAAGAGCCTTTATCATTAAAAAAAAATTAATTAAAAAAATCTGATAGAGATTTTAAATTACGTCCAAAGGGGCGTTTTTTTAACGTTTTGTGTGTTACTTTTATTTATTAAATATCATGTTCTTTGCACTTAAACTATAGAATTGAGTTCAACAGCAATGTCGCAAAGTAATTTTAAAATGAGCATATCTTTAAATCTTCCGATACACGGTTCCTTGCGCTGAAGATAAAAGGTTTTCTTTCCCCATAGAGTGTTGCCATTGCTCGCTTTTAAATCGTTGACTTTGTTAATCAAAGTCAAATATGAAATCTGTAATAAAAGAAGTTTCAAATTTGGGCTTTCAGATGCCCATATTCGTAGTAGGGCTACGTCATTCAAAATTGGATAGCTCTAGGTACCGTTGTTTTATCACAATGCGCGAAACGTACATACATTTATGCAGATTCTTCAATATTTAATATCTTCAAATATAATGCAGGACTTTAACATTTCGTGGCAACAATTTGAAAAGTGTTATGCCGTGTATAGTGATTCGAAGCAAAATCGCAAAACGAAAACAATAGTCCTTCAGGGACAAAGCTCCTTTGGAATAATAAAATAAAAATTGCAGTACTTTGTTTATATTTTTTAAATTAAAAATAATTTTTCAGAATTTTCCGAAATTAATTTTATTTTGGTAAATTTTCAAAATTTATTTTTAATATCCAATAAATATAAACAAGGTATTGCAAATATTTATGATTTTATTTTGATAAATTTTTATAGGACCAAAAAATTTATGTATTTTGGTTATACTATCACTACATACAATATTTACTGTCACTAGGTATAAATAAAAAAAATTTGTGTATACATTGTGTTTTAAATCTTGATTGATTTAGACAACATAAGGATTTCAAGTAAAAACCCTTTTATTATTTATAAATTATTTTACTTTTTTGTGTGTATTTCAGATTATCATGAGGTGTTCTAGTACTTTTAATAAATTTACTTACTTCCTGTATATCATAATATTATGTGAAGTTTCTTTCTTGCGCTGAATATTTTGAGATTCTGTATGATGTATTCAGGGAAAAAGGTTTTACATTTTATTTTTTATAATAAAATTTTTGTCTGTAAGCAATGAAATAAAAAAAAAGGGGGGGGGAGAAATTTTTGTATTTTCATTGTGAAACAGATGGGATGATTAAGCAGAGTTCATTGGTCTACTTTGCCATTTTTTATTAGTATAATTGAATAAATTACAGAAAAGAAGCATTTTCTTTCATTTCAGATTCTGAACAAAAACCAAAGCCAGACTCCACAGATGATGGTTTTGTTGACAGTGAAACACTCTGCCTGGCTCGAAAGAGCCCACTGCAAGAAGTGAGACAGCTGAGTGCAATAAAAGACTTGGATCAAGATGTTCTTTATTCTGGAGTAGCAAATATGCCAGGTTATACAATATAATTTTTTTTTCATAATTAAATCAGTTTCTTCTTTAAAAATGAACAATATTTTAGCCATCAGATATTAAATAATATTACATTTTCCCCTATTACAAAACAAGCAGGAAAATGTGTAGGCCTCAGCGATTTAAATATTTATAACATTCTTAATGATAGATAATATTGCAAGGTATTTCTCCCACCTTCCTAGCATGCCTTTGTGGTGTGGTGGTCTGCGCACTGGGCCGGTATTTCTGAGGTCCGTGGTTCAATTCCTGCCGAAGGCATCGCTAATTTTTCATCTCTTCTGCTTCCAAAAACTACCTAATGTCTCTAGAAGTGGCGCCTGAACTAAAAGGGTTGTGAATGATGACTCTCCACGCTCAAGATTTGGCCATTGGGTCCCCTAAAATCCTCAGTTGCCCTGTAAGGTATTTCTCCCACCTTCCTAGTGTGCCTTTGTAGTGTAGTGGTTCTGCACGCTGGGCCCATATTCCAGAGGTCTGTGGTTTGATTCCTGGCGAAGGTGGTTGCTAATTTTTCGTCTTGCTTGCTTTCAAAAAAATCCTAATGCCTCTACAGACTTAATAGGTAATCTGAAACAAAAGCCCCCTTTTTTAGTATTTACGTAGCTATTACAGGCAAGATATGAGTACAAACATGTATTCCTAAATGACGTCACTGTGCATACAAAAGTATGTAAACACAACTAAACGCATGTCATGTGTTATGCTTAAAAAAAAAAAAAAAAAAAAAAAAAAAAAACATTAGGGTCATGATTTGTATCATTGAGTATGGATAATAAAATTATGCTTAAAAATATCTTGAATTAGTTTTATGTATGACAAGGTGATTATTACAGTCTTATGAAGTTTTTATAAGTATTTCATATGCAGTAAATTTTTTAATGATGTTTCTTTTAATAATGCGTATGCGTTTCCTTTACTGGATGATTAAAAATGTCTGGCAAAAATATAAAAGTCTAGAGAAATGACCAAAATAAGCAGATTTTATAATGGAATATGTATCTAGAAATGTCAGGTTGAATTATTGGAAAAAGCAGTCTGCTACTATAAATCATTAAGGTCCCATGTGAATTTGTATGGATGCTTTTATATGCTAATGCAGAGCTTTTGTCTAGCATTTTATTTATGGATCTGATAAAATGCTTGTCAGTGTTAAAAGGGAGCAGCTGTAAAGGAGGCAAAAGCAACTAATTCCTGAGTACTTTTCTATTCCCAACCGCAGCCTCATAGATAAAATGCATGTTGCCATGTCATTCATGTTTGTATAATGCATTTTACTCAGATCTGCACAGGGAATAATAATTTACTTTACAGAATACCACTTTGTGACAAAATATTCTGTACCACTTCAACATGTTATTTCCACACATGCATTCCATTATATAATCTCCTTAATTCAGTTCTCTCTATCTGCATTTATGTTTCTGTCAGAAAGTTTTTTAATCACCTTGCGTATGTTAAATATATTTTTACATGTTTCCCTGAATACATTTTTGGTGTATTCTAGTTTTCCTTTGAATACATTTTCACACTTCACGCAGTACAAAACTAATCCCTCTCCACTTTTTTAAATGATAAAATTTTGTGTTATTGAATTATCCCAGGTATTTAGTTATATGCAGGAACATAAATTTCTTTTTGTATGAGATTTAATGAGTTTATATTATTGTTAATATTGGAATTTGCATGTCGGAAGTGTAGCAGTCTTCTCCCAAATTTCTCTGTGTAAAAAAATAATTTAAAAGGTCATTAAAATATGCCATCATTATTATAAATTATTTACAAAGTCAACTTCTGACATATGCTCATTTTTATAAAACAGGTTGTAGAGATTCATGCTCCAGGAGTATCATTTATATTTCTCTGAGTGCAATTCAGGAACATTCTGTAAGTGCTGTACAATTAGCAGAATTGCTACTTTATTTTCAGAGTATACCCAAGTGAGTTTTTTTTTCTTCTTGTTGAATATTGTTTCATTGGCAAATATTTTATTATCATATTATATTGTATATATCAAACTTCTGATTGTATATGTGAAAAAATTTAAAACAGAGAGCAGCAACATTTTAGTAAGAATGAAATTCATTAATAAGAAAAATTTAATTCTTAGTGATATTTTGCTTCTCTGTTATTATATATATATATTTAAAAAAAAAAGTCTCAAACAATTTTTATTCTACATTTCAAACCATATGTCATTATCGGACATGGTGTAACCATTTTCTCATTAAATATCATCATAAGAAGAAAAAAACATACCAATAGAAGCTATTATCAAAATGCAATATTATAATTTATGTTTATATATTATTGTTATTTGTCTAAGACAATACACAAGCAATGACAATTCTTTGATATTAAAAATTTGATAAAATATCTTTGATATTAAAAATTTTGCTGAATTCAAAATAGATGAGAGCTTTTACTAAAATTTTTCTTAAAACTCTGCTTTTCACAAATTTTCCTTTGCAGAAAAATTCAAATGCAAGATTAAATTTGTAGAATATTATAAGAAATTTGTTCCTGTGAGCATATGCAGGTTTCTGCAACTGACTATATGCAAAAGAAGTGTATAAAATCAATAGTGCAGCTTAAAAAATCTGTGCTTAGTTCTGCAGATGTAAAACTTAGAAACATTTGATGTACAGTTCCAAAACTTACCAATCTCCCCCTCTTTTTTTGGGGGGGGTAGACAAGAATATTGTTATGAAATGCCCAGCTGTGGTAAGATAGCTTCCCTGCAAAGCATGTTTTGTGTTGACAGATTTGGCGCGAAATCGCCCATTTGGTGACGGTGACAGGATTGGCAATATGCCATAGGCGGAGTGAGAACATTCTAGAACGAATTCATACTACCAGTTTTCCCAAAAATGTTCTCGAAAGCAGGTCAGAAGCTACCCTGCCTGTATGCAGAGTAGTAGTATATTGTGAAAGTATTTTCTTTCTTTTTTACTTTTAAACTTTTTTTTTTTTTAACACTTGTAAATTTATGTGATCTGAGCTTTTTTGTTCAAGAGTTGTGGTGGTAGTGGTTCTCTGTACTAAAAGTTTTCAGTTTTTGTTTAGATAGTATGCGTTAGTCAAAATGTTGAGAACCGCTGATATAGAATATGTTGAGTTCAATAGTAATGTTTTGAGTTGAGAGATCAGCTCAAGACTGATTGACTGGGAGCCGTACTTTAGTGCTTTGCCATGAATCTGTCTTCACCGTAAAACCCTGATAGTCTAAAGTCTACGTTGGTGATTGTCTACTGTGTGTTTGTCATAGTTTTACGATGACTGTAAAGTGTCTTTAGAATTGTCCTGTGTAATACTGATGAATGAATTGTGTTTTGATTCTTCATCGAGTATTGTCATCAATCACTCCAAATCCACGAACACATAGAGACCAATATGTTTCAAGTTAGAAAGAAGGCAATGAAAAGATATTTTTAATTATATATTTAAATATTTAAAAAATGTTATATATATTATATAATTTTAAAATTATTTTTTATTTTTAAAATTTAATTTAAAAATATTTTTAAAGTTATTGTAGCATGGGTATTATTTATTTATTTAATATTTTTAAAATTATTTTAGCATGGTTCGTATTTTTTAAAGAAACTGTGCTTTTGTGTAAAACTACCTACAAATTTTTATATCTTTTTTTTTTTTTATTATATTTTTTTTATAGGAGGGAGACAATGTGTTTGGGTTTCCTTGCTGTTGTAGATGGACGTGAAGCGAAGGTAGAAGAATGGAGTATTCTCCACAGAGCCCTTGCTCTTGTTGAGGTTTGTATTTATAAATACTTTTTGTTTGAATTCCAGTATTAGCTGTAAATTAGCATTTCCCTAATTATCAGAGAAATTTTGTATGTAACAATTTTATTCATGTATATAGCTATTAGCTCATTTGAATACTGAATTTATTGCTTTGTAAAATATTTTTCCACCATTAATATTTTTAGAGTTCTCTAAAACTCTAAAACATATACAGCTTCTTAGAGTGTATGTTAGTAGTATTTTAGAAGGACATGAAATCTTATCAAACTTTATGTAAACTTTTGCATTGAATGTATATAGCTTTTTGTTTTTTTATGTAACTCCTTAACTTATGCTGAAAGTTGAGAAACATGAATTATTAAATCTTCATAAATTTTGTGACAAATAAAATATGAATCATGTATGTAATTGCTTAACTATTCCTTTGCACTTATAACTATGTAGTATTTTTGTAATAGTTTCTTTTTTATGTAATAATTCTTCAGTAGGTTCAACGATGTGGACAAATATGCTGCTAGTGAACTTTCTTAAATTTTCAACATAATAATTCTTATTTATCTAGACATGCATTGAAAATTTTGTTCACTAAAATGAATTATTTGCAAGAAGAACATTTTTTATCACACTTTATCATTTAGGCAATGTTTTTTATGGATATTGGTCTGAAACAAGGACTGCAGAAAGATGTTACAATTCTTTGCTTGTTTGATTGCAAAAGTAGCATGTTAACCTATTTTAACAGACCCTGCATGTAGATCCTGCTTAGCCGTTTGAAAAGTGGTTTTTTATCACTGCCATCTCTATTTATAATGTTCACCTCAAGTACCCCCCTTTTTTATCATTACCATCTTCGTTTGTTTTATTCAGTCCAATGAAAATAATATTCTGTTGTTATCAACAGCTTAGTTGGTGCTTTTAAATTTGGCTGTATGTGTGTGGAAAGGTTGGGGGGGGGTAAATTTTCACACTGAATGCAATGCTGTCTTATAACTCGAAGAAGGGCTTGTGGTTCAAAAATTTAAATATATCGATAAATTAAATACTATATTAAAGATTTACTTTTTTTACTTCTAAAAGATGTGTTGCTGTTGTTAACTTATAAAAATAAATTCTTACTTTTGAGTAAAATTAACCTTTTTATGGTCATCAATGAGCTTAGCTCTCATTCCAGTTATTCACCACAGTGGGTGCAAATGAGCACAATTTGAATTTCAAATTTATGACAGATATTGCACACATTTTGGAAGGAAAAAAAAATTTAATCTCCTAACTGCAGAAAGATTAAAGCTAAACTCAGAAGAACCTTAGAGAGTTTCTTTCTGTACTCTTTTATTGACAAGTATAAATGAAACAACTCTTTGAATTATTCACTTTATTCTAATGCATTATAACATCAAAGACATAAAGTCTTATCATTTCATAATACTGTGTACTTTCATGTTTTTTGTCCTTATTATTAACAGATTGAATTTTGTCACTTAAAAACTTAGATAATTTTTAATACCAAAGTCAACCATTTAAAAAAAAAATGAATGATCCACTTAACAGCATGAAAAGTGTTTTTCATTTTCTGTGTTTTCAAATCTCAACACAGGAAAGCTTACTTACTTAAATAGATGATTTAACTAGCAGCAGTACAGGATAAAATATTTAAAAGGAATTAATATTTTTGTATATTAAATCCAGATTTTACTATGTATTGCTTTACATGACTGTGTTCCATAAATTGATATTAAGCATTTCTATTGGTTTCTAGTAAATGACATATTTCTTGTTGAGTTCAATTTGCTCTTCCTTCCTCCTCCTTTTTGTTTGGTATTCTATTTTTCTTGACAAATTTCAGTCCATCATAATAGGGCCTCAGAGGCAGTAGTATTAATCACAGAATTTGGTGGGTGCATCGTAAAAAAATATATTTGAATAAATAGTTGACTTTGGGGGGGGATGCTAAAAGAACAACTGCAGGTGAAATTTTGTGTATGTTCATCTACAAATTGTTAACCTTAATTTTTAATGCATCATTATATTAATAATATATTTCCATCATTTTCAGATGAGGAACTTATATGGAAATAATATCTTAAGCCTTTTTTGTAGCCAAGCATATTTAACTGTATATTATTTAAATTTCCATATTTTCCATAATTAACAGGCCGGACTTCATTATATATGTATATATATATATATTGTTGCGTTTTTTATCTGACACCAATTGTTACGTTATTTTCTTCCTTCATGTTCGTACAGGGTTTGTGAGGATTTGGAGTGAATAATGACGACAGCACTTGACAAAGTATCAAAACACTCTTTATTTAGCCAATATTAATCGGGTACAGCTCCAAAGTCAGTTTTTACAGTTGTCGAAGATCTACTATAAACACGCGGGAACAATCAGCAACACAACCTTCACACTGTCAGGCAATAACGGCGGAGACAGCTTCACTGCAAACCACCAGAGTACTCGGTCCTGAGTACCTGAGTACACCAGAGTACCACCCGACTCTGCTCGGTCATTCTCGAAACTCCACATACTCTCGAGATGCTCCACGCTACAACTCGCGATGCACTCGACGACACACAGAGCACGGCTCCCGACTTTTCGGTTCGGTCGTTCCCGGAGCTCAACTCGCTCTCTCGACGATACACTAAGAAACTCCTTCGGTGAACTCGACGACCTACTCGGCACTCGCTGCCCGGCTGTCAACTCGATCGACTCCGCAGGGATTGACTTGCTAGGTGAGACACCAACTCGATACTAACTATCTCGCACTCAACGAGGCACACTCTCACTCGCCTTTTCGACGAGGCACTCTCTTTCAGCTCGCTAGGCGAGGCACACACACTAACTGACTGCAGACCAGCAGGGTTTATATAGCTTTCTGCTTGTGTTCGAGAACATTCTGGGCTCACCCGGTAAGAATTTGTTCCAGAAGATTCTCCATCCGTCCATGGTATGTCGCCAAATGGGAGATTTCTTGCTAAATGTGGCAACCCTGCCTTCCCTTGCCATTTTATGGCAACCCTAAAACTGCTTTGCGGGGAAGCTATCTTACTGCGCCTGGACATTTCGTAACACTATATATAATTTTTCAGCTATTTGCTAATGCAGTGTTTCAGTAATGTTACACATTAAAAACAACACCTAATCAATTTAAAATATAATATGAAAATTCAGCGTTAATGAGTTTATCCATTGTTTTGTCAGCTTTTCACATATTAAAAGATTATCAAACTTTGCATATTCTTATTTGTAATTTCACTGTTTGTTTTTATTTGTAATACGAATTATTAGCAATTGTTATATATAATTTTATATTTCTTATAGGAATGTATTCCTGGTACAGTCAGCTTAGTACTTGCTTTGCACAGGCAAAGCCATAAATCTGAACTGCTGACTTCAAAATTTCCAATTTTCCATATAAAAGTAAGATAGGTTTTAATTTATTTTTCACTCGTATGTTTTTTTTTTCCATTCTATAAATTTATTATATTGTTAAAACATGTTTTACTTAAGTTCTCAGTTTTATTTGAATTGTAGTATTCTAGAAACTAAACATTTTATTTCCTTATATTTTTTTCCAGTTTGAGCCAATTGTTAACGATAATCAGTTGCTAAATTACATATCTAAGGATCAGTTGTTGCCAGAATTTGGGGGAGTATTTGAATATGATCATGAAAGTTGGATAGATTTTCATGAGGTATGGTATATGCTAATTTTAAAATTCACCCTTCTTTTTGTGTGATATTCATTCAAAATTCTATGTTTTATACAGTCAAAAGTCATTAATTCGGACTCGTCGGGACTTCGGCGATTCCAGATTATCGATTTTTCCGGATTATAGCTCATCAGTTTAAATCTGGTAAGATGGCATGCAGAAATTATAAAATTAAAAATATGAAACCGTAATTTATGAAATAAAGAACAATTATTATCTAAAGGGTATAAAAATTTACAAAAAAAAAGCTTAATATTTATTTGTTTACTTTATTAAACATTTCTTTCAATGTAAGTTGTTTAAGTTGCTTTGTTTTATGTGATAATACTTTCTCTTTAATTCTATAAACAGACATAATTTCTTGTTCAGTTACAAAGTTCCGCTGTTCAAGTCCCGTAATTGCTGTGCCGAGAATACTGACTAACTTGTCAATCGAAATTTTTTCGTCTTCACTAACCTCTCTATCACCTTCTTCATGTCTTTATCCATTTTTTGCAGCAATTTCACTTTTTGTTTGATGGACATCGAAACATACTTTCATTTTGTAGATTCTTTGGGAGCTCCAGCATCGAAAATTCTATTTGACATAATCGAAAGTTCAAGTTTACTTTTATAAAATTGCTCTTACAGTCTGCAAAAAATAATAAGCGCAATCCAATTCGAAGATTAAGGAACAACACAATCATTAACATTAACTGAAATAGATAATTAGATAATTTTAGCTTACACCGTCCGTTATACATTAAACGCGCAGGTGAAAACGTATTCTGCACTTGCGCACACGCATATGCGCAGTAGTCAAGGTCTTACGCGCACGCGTAAAACGCCTGTGCGCATGCGCAGAAAGTTTTTAGCTTTGAGGTCCGGATTATGGATGTCCGAATTTACGACTTTTGACTGTACATCTTATGCAACTGCAACAAAATTATTCAGCTCAATATCAACCCAAAGCACTATAACTGTACAGGAGAAAGAACCAGTAATGATAGAAGATCCTAGAAACCAAAAATCAGGAAAAAAGCCTGATGATGAAAGTAGTACACTGGTGACGGTGTCCTAAAGAAAACAGAATGTCTAACAGAATATACAGAGTAAGCAAAAACCAGGACCCCTAGTCAAAGTTCTATTGCAAGCATGCGTTCAGGACGTCTAGATGACTTAGATGAAATGGGTGTTGAACAAGGGTTATCCCTTCCAAAACACCTTCTGCCCCGACAGACAAAAACCCCGTCTGTGTTTGTGTGGGTCTTATCACCTCCCACAATCACCTATACTTTGTACTTTCTTTGATGACCTCCCTTCAAGCTGTGGCGATTCAGATTAATATACACGTTTTAATATCAATATGCAGTATTTATTTACCCCCAAATGATCATGTTGATCAGTGAGGGTTGAACAGAATAATATAGCAGCTCCCAGAACCTGTTCTGCTTTAATGTGACCTTAAAATGCACATAGTACCTTATGGGGAAGTAGGGGCATTAATTCAAGGGTAAGACAGATCGAAAAATTAACGAAGATCCTTCTATTTGTCTCCTTAATAATGGAGAATACTCCTACTTTCATCAGCCGACTGGAACATTTCATGCCACACAATTAAGGAGGAATTATTTTCTTTTTCTGCTTGCATTGCTGTTAAAAATGGTTTTTTAAATTTTGCTGAACTGAAAGTACCAAGTCTACTAAAGGTACAGGAGAAAGCAATATGATACAACCAAATGTACAAAAAAGCTCATTTTCGTTTATGAAAAAACGTTATTTAGATTTGTAAGCATTTGTTGTGACTTATCTCACTTGCTTGACAGTGACATCATAAAAAGACCACGAATTCATCATGGCTAGGTCAAGATTGGAAAGATTGCACCTGTCATTGACAAAGCCTTGATCCACATACAGGTGTCGGTATGATTTCACTTATTTCTGCCCCCGTTTTGAAGGAGAGCACTACAGGAAAACAAGTCAGAGGGTCTCCCACCCCTCTTTCCCTACCACCAATTTCTCGAGAGGACTTTCGACTAGCTGCACGTTTAGAGTACCTCCATGTCGCACAGACACCATACATTTACAAATAACCATGCCTTTTCCATTTGAGCCTGGTCCTTCAATATAGCAGTAGGCTCTTCCTAACCACCATACCTTCTGGGCAGCTTGTGGATATTTAATATATATTTAAAAAATATTAATGTTTAATTATTATTAATTAGTATTAATGTTTAATATTTATTTGAAGAAATTTAATCAAGGTAATTCATTATTATTATTATAACTATAGTTTTTGGACCCTTTTATTGTGAGCTGCCATCAGACTGGTTGTCGTTTGGTTAAACTTATTCAAGACTTGCGCTCTGCGCAGTTGCCGTCCACTCTAACCAATCATTTGATAGAACAGCAGAAAAAGCAAATTCTTGATGTTTTAGAGAATGAACAGCTGCGATATCTTGAACAAGAAGGAGCAACTTTTCTTGAACATCTGGAAAAATATCGAGAGAAGTTCAAGAGTAATTTAGATTACGAGTAAGTACATTTTTCTTTAGATTTTCAAGCAGTATATATATATATATATAACAAGTACAAAATCATTATCTCATTCATATAAAGCTCATTTAAAATTATGAAAATTCAGTTGTAAACAAAGTAAAATGATTAATTATTGCTGCAATATATATATATATATATATATATTGTACTTAAATAATTAAAATGTTCATAAATGTTACTAATCTTAGCTTAGCCTTTTTATTTTGTATTTTAATTTATTTTTAACACAAAAAGGGCTCTTAGTCTTGCAGTGAGATTTTGCATCTGTTCACCCACTATAAATATATTGAGAGTAAATTAATGGTCATAAATGTGATTAATTGTAGCTTAGCTTTTAATTTTTTTTTTTTTTTTTTTTTTTTACCCAAAAGGGGCTCTTACGTCTCGAAATGGGATTTTGCATCAGTTCACTCATTATAAACATTAAATAATTAAATAATGATGAATCTGCATTTATACATCTCTCGCATTGTGAAAAAATGACAGTGTCTAGAGCCATCAAATTTTAAATAATGCTGTCTTTCACCCAAACATGTGCACCTGGAAGCCTGAATTTTGAATTTGTTTTGTTATTTATTTCTGTAAAACTTTTCAGAAATTTTTGATTAACAGCAAGCAGTGGCAACACTGTACAGAATAAAACACTTTTATCTCTGGTGCATGAGACTGTTTATTGTGAATTCTGAAAATATGCTCTTTTTAAATATTTTGTGATTTTGTTGTTCAGTTTATTTACATGGCACAAGTGCAGAGAACAAGACATTTCATAAACAAAGTAGTTAACGCATTAAAAATTAATAATAAACAGACAAAATAAAAATTGTTTATTAGCCATCTTACTAATAGAACTGAATATTAAATGACAAACTGAAAAACATATAAAAATGTATGCCAACACTTAACAATCCATCAAGAATTCTAAACATATGTTGTTATGCAGCTTTTAAATATTTTGTGATTTTGTTGTTAATTTGCACAGGGTTTAATTTCGAAAATTAGAAGTATCGCAGCCCTATGGAAGACCGTCAGCAAAGAGGAACAAAAGTAAATAAATGAATAAAATGACTATTAAAATCATTAAAAAAATTTTAATTAAATAGTTAATTATCATCAAAGTAATTATTAATTAGTTAATCAATATTAATAATTAATATCTATCAATTATTTAATTAAATAAAAAGTAGTTAATTATTATTTATTTAAATAATTAAAGATTTAAGTAATTAAATAAAATGTAAAAAGATAAACTAAAATTTAATAAGCGATTTTTAATATAATTTTATTGCAAAAAGTAAAATTTTTTAGATCAAATTTCTACTGAAATTGTTGTTCAGTTACATAAAAGAAATGCCGTAGCCTTCTTATTTACTTCCGGAATGCACCGGAGATGATTTATGATTATCCCCAAAATTAAGAAGTACCGGAGCCAGGCTCAAGTGTGCTCTGTCACAATTTAAGCTCTGAATTTGCATTAGGCATAATTATGAATAAAATGATGCTTAATAATTAAGCTGAAAAGAGAGAAACAAACAGAAAGTTGGTTAGCAGGAGTGAGTGATAGAGCAGACGAGTAGACTGTGAGCTCAATTGATGGCATAAAATGGCCTTAACAAACCCTTTTGGTCAACTGTTAAAGTTTAAAACCCTTTTTATCCATCAGTTAGTATACTTAATTTGTTCTAATGTAATATCTACATATATAATTCAGTTTCCTTAATGTTGAGTTAGCAGATCTGTTGTTTAGTGTTGCTTTCTTTGTTATACTGTGTTACTTTCTTTCTATCATATGTACATTTATACATATGTACATTTATTTAAATGTTAATTTATTATTTAGTTAATCTTTATGATAAATATTAAATATTTCATATACTCTTTTTCTCTTGTATTTTGTAGCTTTATATTAGATAACTAGCATATCTCAAAATGGGTTTGTTTTCGTATTTTCTCATTTAAAAAATAAAACAGATTTGAATTCATTTCTGTTAATAAAATTCATGTGGTTGATATTAAAATTAGATAGTTTCAGAAACAATGAAAAAAGTCTTGATAAATAGTTTGATTTAAATACTGTATGTAAAGAAGTACAGTAACATTTGTTAAATGTATTAGTTGAAAATGTACATTAAGAATGTTTATTTAAAGAATTCCCTTTCCTTACAATCAGTTTTCCAGGAAGTACTCCAAAATCAAATTTCATATTTCATTTTCATTTGCATATATTTTGCATTTTTGATACCTAAAGTAAAATTTTAATTTATGTACTTTCATATTAAAAAAATCCAGAGTGTATGTTTTTTTTAATTTTGTGATTATTAATGAAGTTAAATTCTGGTAGCATTTAAAATCTTAAAGCATATATTTCAAATTTATATGTTTTTAATGAACAGAATTTTATATTAATCATGTTGTTCTACGTGTTTCAAAATCTTGCTGAAATTCATTAGTTTTCATTAAATGCTCTAATTTCTGCAGTATTTTTCGGTATACAGTATTGAAAATTTAAACTCTTGAAGAAAAGTTACTGGCCCACCAGCAGCTGAGCGGTAAACTTGCTAAATACTGGTAGTTTAGTCCATGTTAATGAGAGGTCTGACTTCATAGGCATTTTCTCTGTGTAATGTGTATACTAGCCAATTTCCCTTAGCTCTCTATGAGCACTCCTCCCCTTGGGCAGATAACCCTTTAATGCTTTGCTAGAATCAAATAAGCCAAACTGAGTACAATTAAAAATAAAGTACTTTGTAATCCAGAAAATGTTTAATTTCCCATAACATGTTCTGTCATATGTGTGCATAATTATGTATGGAAAAAAAAGCTTTCATTTCTTTGAATTAAAGATACTGCATTTGAACTGTGCTGTGTAAGTATGCATGTATATTCAATCTCTGTTCATTTCGTTCTTCATGTAGAGAGGCAGTAGAAAAAAGTAAGATGCTGTATAAACAGTTGAAGAAAGTTGTCCAAAGGCTAGCAAGGTTAGCTGACAAAAGATTAAATAAGTTGCAAGAGTGCATGTTGATGAAAATGTTTGAAGAAGAATCTAGTCAGGTATATCCTGTTTTATATTATTTCATCACATATTAATTATTCTCATTCTTCATTTGAAATAGTAGTTGGCATTTTCAGGTATAAAATATGCAATCTTGTGTGTGTGTGTGTACATATATACCGGATGAGCCAGAAGTTTGTTAAAACTTTAAAAATTCATGAAAAAGGAAGAAATTACGATAAAGAAGTGCAGTTTGCAAGAAGGGGCTCATAAGAAAGTCAGATTTTTTTTAGTCTCAAATGTCACTGGTAGAGGGTGCTGATGATCTGACACACAATGAACAGTACAAAGTTCGCTCCATTCGTTTATTCTTTCAATAACAATTGTTCAACATGACCTCCAGAACATTGTACGACACAGCTAAGGCGATTCACAATGCCTGTTACAGCTGAACACAGCATATCGGAATGAATTGCCGAAACCTTATGACAGATAGCATCTTTGAGTTCAGCCGATGTTGAAGTGGTTGAATGGTACACAAAGGATTCCAAATAGCTCCACAACTAGAAGTCGACCAGAATGAGGTCAGGTGATCGTGGAGACTATGTGATCTTACCACCTCAACTGAGCACTCTGTCTTCACCAGAGGTACTCAATATGAATCGTTTTACAGGATTGACTTAATGAGGCGGTGCACCATCCTGCATAAAGCTTATTACAGATAACACACTTTGATTTAATGCGGGCACAAGTTTGTCATGCAAAAGCCAAAAGAGTGAAATAACGGTCAAGAACTACTGTGCATATTTTCCAGCTAGATATGGGACACGGTTCTTTAATCCTCTGAGCTTTATGACCGGCTTTATCTGGTCATTAGAAGTTTTGCTACTTGCCATATATTAGCTTATAATTTAAGATATTTTGCTTTCTTACTTTCTTTAACAACGTAAATATCATCTTAATGAATTTAAGTTTATGAAAATACAGACTAAAATAAGTAATTATACAAACTCAATTAATAAATGCTGTTTAAATACCGGTCTTCATGACGGATCTAAAATACTGCGCCGCTCAGAGCGTTAAAGAAGAATGGTCCAGCAATGAAAGATGAGATAAAGCCACTCCAGACTGTCAGTTTTGCTGGAGGCAATGACTTCGTCATACATTCACAAGGATTCGGCATCACACATATACGAGTGTTCTGAGTGTTGACATCCCCTTGTAGTGTGAAGTGTGCCTCATCCATCCAGAAAATGTTGGAACAACCAGTGAGGGTCACTTTCAATTCTTGCCATAGTCCACTCAGCAAATGGATCATAGCTGTGTCTCCCATTGTAGCTCGTGCAGTAATTACAATTAATAGGGATATAGAATCAATATTCCGTGGATGATATATCAAATCGACGAGTGAGGCACATCCAATATCCTTCCAGCCATCCGAGCACTGCTATTTCCTGTGGATAATTCCTCCACTATCATTCATAGTGGTTTCCACTGTAATATCGCCCCTTTGCCAGTGAGGGTCATCCATGTCGTGGCCAGTCTTTCAAAGAGCCAGTTCCTTTGAGCCATTTGACAAGCTTCAGTATATCAGAACACGGTATGGGGCCATTCTTTGTCTTCAGTTCTTTCGCATACGAAATTTTCACAATGCAACAGTTGTTGACTCTCCGTTCAAACAGAACAACTTAACCAACAACACTCGCTTGGATAATGATGACATTCTGAAAGTGAATTAGAAATCCTCATGTATCACGGTTTTTTTATTGCAAGATTAATTTGCATAATTCTGCTGAACCTCTTGCATGTCAGCGCTGACATTTTTAACTAAAATTTGTTTTGGTGCTAAAAAACATCCGACTTCCTCGTGAGTCCTTTCTTGCAAACTTCTGTTTTAAATTTGAATCGCAGAATTGAAATCCAAAAAAAGATAATTATATATTGCTTCTAATTAGATGTATTTCATTCTGGTTTTCAATTTAAATCAACAGCATCGTATATTTAGCACTATTAATTAGTTTTAAGTTCTAGATTAGATATCAGTTTTATTTGGCTATGATTATTAATATGCCAGAGTCATGTTAGTCAGCATTTTATGGATCATGTTTGTGAGTATTATGCGGTAGAAACTTCTTATATTGGGGGGGGGGAGAGAAAGAAAAACGAGATGGTTTTAGAACATTTCTTAAATTAAAACCTTTTTCTATATAAATATATATTCTTAATTGATGTTGTTTGTATGATGCAAAGAATAGTACCTTACAGATCTTTTACTTTATTCTCATATGAGGGTGTTATTTGTATGTGACCTTATTATACAATATAAAAGTATGAAAGAGTTTAAAAGCATCATAAAACAGTGTCTTCATAATGTTCAGTTTATGAAATGATTAAAATACAAGTAATTAAATATATTATAAATGTTTTGGGAAAATGTGGATCACTTAGTAATTAAATACAGTGAAACCTCATTACAACAATATTTTAGGGACCAAATAAATATATTGTTGTAGAGAGGCATATTGTTATATCCAGGGCCCACATATTTTGAGCATTTAATAAGAGTTTTTTTTTTTTTTTATTATTTATAGTTTAAGGTGCATAACATACTACTTTTAGGTCTATATTTAGAAGAAATTAATTTGTAAAATACTAATAATAGTGGTTTAAATACTAAAAAAATAAATAAATAAGATAAATTCAGAAAATAAGCACAGAAATATTCACATACCTGAAAACACTTTTTATTGAAAATAATCCAATATTTTTGTTTGTTTATTGATTTTTTTAACTGTTAAGTTCACCAATACTGTATGCATTGAGTCTAGTGCACGAAAATGTTCTTCATTTGTCGAAAAAGGCTTGAAAAAAATGTCCGTAAAGAATTCATAGATTGAAGAGCTTCCTGGGATGACAATAAGGACTGCGATGGGCCTGTATTATCATCATCATCAATATCATCATCATTGTTTCCTATCTCATCAGTAATTTCAGAGAGAATATCTTCATCAGTAACTCCTGCGAAAACCATAAGATCATCATCTGCTGTTAAAATAGTCTTCTATACTAATTCCAAACTTTTTACCGCTTGTTTCAAGTTGGGATACGGATTTTTTGATGTGCAAAACACATTCTTGATCATCTGAGAGATCATTGTCTGTGGAATTTTCATCATTTTCAGATTTCTTATCTTCCATAACACAAAGACCGGCCTTTTTCCAGCAATTCCGAATGGTTTTTTCTGTTACTTCCCACCAACTTCCAGCAATATTGTCACACGCTTCCTTGACATTTACAGCTTTGAAAGGGTCTTCTACTTTATTTTCAAAGTTTACAAGTATGGAGTCCAACAACCGTTTTCTGTAATATCCTTTGAAGTACTTAATTATGCTCATATCAAGAGGCTGTAAAATTGAAGTGCAATTGGCAGGGAAAAAAGCGATATTTTGTAGCTTTGGAAATGACGTGTGAGCACCGCAGTTATCTATCAACAAAACGATTGTTTTCTTTATCTTCTTCATTTCATTGTCTAACTTCTGTAACCATTCGGAAAAAAATTTAGACGTCATCCAAGCCTTCTTATTTGCTTTATACTCCAAGGGAAGACTTTTCACGTTCTTAAAGCACCTTGGCTTCAATGATTTACCAATGACGAGAGGTTGTATTCTATGCGTTCCTGTCCTATTTGTACACAGAAGAACAGTCAGTCTCTGCTTTGATTTCTTCCCTCCATAACACTTTTCACCCTTGAATGCCATTGTTCGATCAGGTAGGAGTTGGAAAAACAGCCCAGCTTCATCTGCATTATAAATGTCTTCTGGAGCATACTTTTCTAAGATTTCTTTCATCTTGTTTTGCCACCATTCATTTGCGTTGTTTATCGGGGCTGACTTTTTCTCTCCGTGAACTTCTTGGAAAGTTATTCCATGATGATCTCGAAAATGCATTAACCAACCATTGCTAGCTTTGAAAGTTTCGTTCCCTAGCATTGCTGCAAATTTCTGTGCTTTTGCACATAATAAAGGTCTATTTATTGGGACAATTGTTGCTCTCATCTCTTGAAACCATTTAAAACAGCAGCATCAATGTTTTCATTTGTCGCAACTTTCAGTCATTTTCGCTCTGGGTTAATTTCATTTGAAGTTACAGCATCTTCGATTTGCTTTCTCTTCTTTAGGAACGTTGCAACTGTAGATTGCGATAATCCATGTTTCTTAGCCGCATCAATCTGCTTCATTCCCTCATCAATATCATTGATAACGTTCAGTTTATCTCGAAAAGATAGTTGCTTTCGCCCTGCCATCTTAGGGAACAATATCGTCTGAAAGAAAGAAAAGTTTAAACCAAATGTTTCGCATAGAACTCAAAATCGTTAAAGACTATAAAACAACCTTTGAACTCACTTTTCAGTACGTCACTTAACAACACCCCGCCTCCATCTCCCCCTGTTCCTCTAACAAAGGGCACTTGTTCTGTGACAAGGTGACCAGCCAGGTCTAGATGTCCTTAAAACTTATCAGAATTCCAAAGCTTACTGGGAAATGAGACTAGGCATACATTTACACTTCAACCCCCTCACCCACTCCAATTCCCAAAAGGGTGGTCTTCATCTGTTTTGAAATCTGAACAATAGCTATTTATTCAGGGATAAGTTGAATATCCACAATGAGTCTTAATAGACGGAAAAAATAACAAAAGAAAACGAAAAAAAAAAAAGCATTTGAAAATCAAAATATTATTATAAAGGGAGAAAATAATACTGAAATTTAGATTGAAAAAATCGTTTTACAGAGGTTTATTGTTCTAGAGAATATAGCAATATTGAGGGGAGATTAACATTAGTTTATATGCAAAATCAACGGGACCACAAAACATTTTTGTAGTAGAGGGAGTTATTGTTGTATCGGGTATCGTTGTAGCGAGAGTTTACTGTATATTATAAATATTCAGTAGGAAAATGTTGATCACTTAAGTTATATGTTGAATTAATTTTAAGCTCCTGTTCTCCACATTTTCCAGTGTGTGTTTTTACACTCGTGTTGGAATGTTGTTATCAATTCGAACTTTTCTAAGCTGATAGCAATATTTTTTATTCAGTCTTAAAGATTGAAGGACATATCAAATCACTTCAGAGAATAATATAGTTTTTACAGAGAAAATTCTCTACAGATGCAGAAGATATTTGTATGTTTCCAAGTCTCAAATCGTTCTCTTCCTCTCAGTATTTTCTGTTTTCCAACAAGTAAACAACATTCAAGAAGTAAGCAATATTGAGGGTCAAACCAAATCTCCCATCTGGAGCTTTCTTTTCTGGTCATTAGGTTAAATTTGCCTGAAGATTTCCTGTAGGAGCTGACTGACTGTTTCTCTTCTCAAATAAAAGTAAACCTGTTAATTATGAACACATGGTATAATGTTCCGATGTTGTTACTGTGGGATAAAATCCAGCATGTGTCAGTTTTGAAGTAATAGATGTTAATTTAGTCCACCTTTTTGAGACTAAGTTTCCTGATGCCTTTGTGACATGGGTGACTTCAGAATTTGTGCTGCTAAAATGTATGTCCAAATTTGCTGCTCAAGCACCTTCTAAATGCTTTCATAAACTTGTCAAGAATATAAAATGAGTAAGTTTTGCCTCTGGAAATCAAGTGCATATGTTCACTTTCATATCTTCAAATATTAATTATTTTCAGTAAAAAAGTGGTCATTCTCCAAAATTGTATTTTTTGGGTAGGAAGAGCACTGAGGTGTTAACATAGTAATCTAGTCTTCCCCTCCCCATGTTTGAATTTTATTCCAGATCATGATGATTTATTTATTGATCATGATGATTTATTTTATTTGAATTCTGTCATTTTAAGAAGTAAAGGTCAGGGCTATTCCTTCAAATTTACATATTTTGTGATGATACAGCCAAAGTTGTTTCGTCTCTGAGTTAAATATTCATTCTTTTTCACTATCTGAAAGCAAATATTTATTGAATTGAGTAACAGCATATCACATATGTTGGATTTTAAAACTATGATGATCTGGCTTTGGATAGTGATTGCATAGCAATTTTTGAATTGCTATGTGTCAGAATTCACTTTTTTGTGTAATGAAACTCTTTTAGAAAAAAAGGAAAATTCGTTGCCTGACTGTGTAGTGCATATTTTTTAATGAAACATGTTTTGTTAAGATGTTATAATTTATTAGTTTCTATCTATTATATATTTTTAAAAAAAATCATATATTACTGACCTATAATAATTTAAGTCCTGATTAAACCAGTTTCTTCATTGCTGTTTTTATAAGCATAAAAACATTTATTGATACTTAGTGATTGCATAATCACATGAAACTATACTACCAGCAATGAGATTATTACTGAAACTGACTAGAAATTTCTACAAGAAATCTTGAAGTGAAGCAGCATAATAAAAGGCAGAATAAGTATAACGTGTGATTTATATGGTGAAAAGAAATTGGAACCACACCACTAAAAGCATTTTTTTATTACTAAAGATATAGTTGCACCAAATTTTTATTTTTTGGGAAAGAAGGTGATTACCTAAAAATCTTTGTCATATAAATATGCTTTGATGAAGCTTTTTTCTGGGAGAGGATCTATTAAGGTGCAGTATTATACTTTTTTTAATATACTAGTAACTAAAATTAAAACTCTTCATAATGACTTGTTAATTAAAATTTTTGCCATTTTGCTTCATTAAAGTAACCTAAATTTAGATCTGAAAGTGTAGTTTTTGAAGACTAGATTTGCCTTAAAAACCAGTTTTTGACATTAGTGGTCATATATAGTATATATATAAATTAGAGATGATGCTTTTTGTGAAAAGTTTGTTAGTAATTCAGTTGTTATTATTATATGTGTGATGTTGAGTGTGAAATATTGCTTCAAAAAATAACTTTTTTTTAATTACGTGAAAATGTTAAAATTATCCTGTATTTTATCAAATTTCACAAATAAATATGTATTTTATAATTTAAATTTTTGGTATTTGCTTTTCTACATGAAGGTTTTAGGTTGGTTGCGTCGTAAAGGTGAAGAGACTCTGAAGAAGCATAAAACACTTGCTGAAACACTCAATGCCATCCGAGAACAAGAGAATGAATTTGAGAAGTTTTATTTCCTAGCAATGGTAATTATGTTTATGAATTATTACTTACTTTTCTTTATCAATTGCATCCTTGTAGCAACATGGCAGTCTATAAATTTCATATGCTAGAATATCAGCAAGGTAGTATAAATTGTGTATTATTGCAATAATGTTAGACATGCAGAGAATACTTCTTTGTCAAAAAATAGAATAAACCAATAATAAATAATAATATTCCATAAAAATAAATTAATACATTAAATAACAAATAAAAGTAATATAAATCCAGGGTAATAATTTGTAAAAAAGATTTATTAATATGCAGTCTACTCCGGTTAAGTTATTCTCTCCCCCCCCCAAAAAAAAACTCAATCCATTTGCAAAAAATGGGGTAATCAGTTTTGAAATGTATCAGTTTATTTCAGATTTTGGTAAGAACTTGCTTCATTTCCTCAGTTTTTATGGGACACAAGCAATCGAAGAGGGAGGGGGGAAGAGGTTAGGCCTTTTCCAATAAATTTAATAAAGCAGGAGCTCCTATATTATGAGACACTACATGGGAGGGTAGATTTTAGACACATTTTCCTTAGAAACATTTCCCTAAATTGCGAATCGAGCTCTCCTAGCATGCTTGCAACAAGAGCTCTGCCACTAGCGGTTGAACTATTAATTTTTATAGTAGTCCAGAGTCGTAGCTAGGGTTTTCAGTGCCCAGGGACAACTGAAGATTTCGTGCCCCCTACTGCTTGCCAAGGATGGAAAACATTTAATTCTAAAATGTCGTAACATCAGTTTGGCGCCCCTTGGATTCTGCACCCGGGGACAGATACCCCCTCTTGCCCCCCTCTAGCTACGCCCCTGTGGTAGTCTGCAATATAATTAATTTCTTGAGATTATCCACATACTTGTAAAATAGGAAATGATATAAATAAATAAATTTCCTAAAAATTAAATAATTGTATCTAACAAAGAATTATCAATGAAAGAAAATAATTTTTTATTAATATTGGAAATTTTTGTCTTTTGAGAGAATGTAAATATATTTTGGTTTTGATAAAATAGTTTTTCTTTCCTTAAATTTACTAGTATAATATATCTTTAAATCAAAAAGGAAAAGGGCAGTTTAACTAAAATCATAGTTGTGACATATATTCGAAATTATTGTTGTTAATGCTAACTTTATGTTTTGTATTAAGGTATTAGAAAATTTCGAATACTAATTCAACTCTTTCGCTTAACTTATTAAAGCAGAGCATGCGAATGTAGACCAAAAAGCTGTGTCGTGATACTGTGAGAACAGAAGTTCTAGTAACTGAATTGAAGGTGAATGAAAAGTATAAGAATAAAAGTTCTAATAATAAATTAATTGAAAGTTTATTTTTTCCTTAGCATACTTCCAGAATTTTCACTTTAGGAAATAAATTCCCCCAATTTCCAGTGTTCGTTTTATATATATATATATATATATATATACAAATTTTATATTTAGTTCATTGTATTTTAAAATAAGTTCAGCATGTTGCATCTGAATTTTTTATCTGCTTTCCTAAATTTCATTCTTACCTTACTTCCGTACTTTTTCATGTTTAAAAAGTCTTATATGTTTTAAAAGTCTTATATCAGGCTTCAGCAACCTATGACTGAGTGGTTGTTGATTACATTTCATAATTTCAATAACTATTAATAATCATATTTTTTGTCGATTACAAAGTTGCAATAACAAATTATTATTTAAAAAAATTTTTAAAAAAAATTGTAACATAATTTCAAGGACAAATTGATGAGATTGGCAAGGCCAATCCTTAATTCTTAATTTAAAAAAAAATTAAAGATAAAGTTGTGCCAAATTATTATTTTTTGGGAAAGGAGGTGATTACCTAAAACTCTTTGTCATATGAATATGCTTTGATGAACCTTTTTTCTGGGGGTATCTAATAAGGTGCAGTAGTATACTTTTTTAATATACTAGTAACTAAAATTAATACTCATCATGACTTGTTAATTAAAATTTTTGCCATTTCGTTTCACTGAAGTAACCTAAATTTAGATCTGAAAGTGTAGTTTTTGAAGATTAGATTTGCCTTAAAAACCAGTTTTCCCGTTTTGTTCACGATTGGTTCAAATTGTAAATGTGATCAAGTATTTTCAGAAATGAAATTTATTTTAAGAATGAAAGAAGCTTAACTACCCAAAATTCAGATATTGTATTTGTCTTAAGACAATTAACTATAATCCAAACTTAATTCAAATGACATCACAAGTTCATCCTCAGAAGAGCCACTGATATCAAAGAGAAAAATAAAGTTCATTCAGTTCTATTTGTTTTATAATTTTAATTTTTATGTTTAAAGTTTAAAAGCATATTGTAATTATTTTTTTTTTCAATGTTGTTTATCTTATTATTCACCCCCCCCAAAAAAAAAACTTTTAAATGAAAATACCACTTACCCAAAAGTCCATTTTTGAAGGGTTGCTGATGCCTGTCTTATTTAATATTTGTTATATGTTATATCTACAGCTATGCATGAATTTTATCTTAACAATGTGGCAGAACTTTCAAAAAATTGAAAGCTAATGCTAATGCCTCAGACTATTATTTCTTATATTTTCTTTTGAAGGCTTTAAATTATAAATTAGTATTACCTGAGTATTTTTTTATTTTAGCGACAAATTGAACGAGGTAATGATCTTTTGGAAGAAATACCAAAGGCTAAAATTTCTGGTGGAGAAAATGGTATGAGTGTACATTTGAAGCAACAGCTTGATGACTTTACAGATCGCCTCGAGGATGCTAGGGAAAAGTTGGAAGATACAAGTCGTTGCTACCAGCTTTTAGATAAAGTAAGATATATATTTGAAGGGAAAAGAAATAAATGTACCAATTTAACTTGCATGTGCAATCAGTATTTGTGCTAAATGTATATGTATAACTTGCATATGCATTTTTAACTACATTTGCCTGTGATTTTGTTGACACACCAAAGACCAAATTGATTGTAAATATTATTTGCGTAGTTCTGCAGACATGAATTGTTAACATAACTTTCTTGATATATGTAATTAATGTGTATTTTTTTTTACTTTATATTGTCTTGCTGTATGTGTTATTACTTTATTCATATATGTCATGAGCTTCTAACTTGGAAAGAATATAAATGAAAATGTGTATGCATATTTTATGTTGTTATGTGTGCAATAATAAAATAGAAAGCAAATGAAATGATAAGTGCCAAAAACTTAAATCTTGGAAAATTTTTATATTCATTAAATATCATTAAAAAACAGAGAAATTATGAAAACTAATACAGAATATGAGAATATTAAACTTTCTTCTTATAATGAGAGAAGTATTTAAAAACTATAAAACTTGAAAAGTTATAGATTAAAAAAACAGAGGACTGACTACATCTGAGTTTTTTAGTCCAATGCAGTATCTCTTTCCATATCATATACCCACTCCTTAAAAATATCTTACACAGTTTTATTAATCATATATCTTTTACTTGAAGCAAGAAAACTACATATTTTTGACTTTTTTTGCATGAAAGTAACATGTTTTTTAACGTGTTATAGATATTTAAAGTTAAAATGCAAGACATGTGTTTCAAAAATCATTTTTAAGCCCTGAACCTTTATTTAGTCGTAATTTTACCTTTATTCAGTCATAAAATTTCCTTCCACTTGATGTATATTGCCTTAATATTTAAATTTTTTTTTTTTTTAATTTATTCTGAGTTAAATGTTATCTTTAATGAATGAAAATTTGGGAAAACAAAGATAATTTTAATTATACAAATTTAGGTAATAAATGCTGTTTAAATAACTGTTCATCATAAGCAGATCCAAAAAGTCTTCTCTCATGAGGGTTGAACAAAATTAGTGTAGTGGATTAAAAAAGATAGAAATAATTCTTTTATATTATATTCACATAGTTTAAAAAATATATGTATGATGTAATAAAATATGGCATTATTTTCTTATTTCCTTGTAATGTGTTAAATATTCTTTGACTACCTTAACATTAAATAATTGTTTTTTCCACTTTTTTATATCTATTTAAATTAAAATAATATGATTTTTATATTCACAAAATTGATATGAAATAATTTTTTATTAATAGCAATGAAATAAAAATAACCTTTATGTGTAGAACAAATTTGCAAAATTAACTGGGTAACCCCTTTAGACAGCCTATGCTTCCTCATGTTTCCCCCCGCCTTTTAAAATTCAGAAGAGTTTCACTGTATTTGTTTAGAATTTTGTTATTATTTTTTTGTTATTTGAGAACACTTGTATCTGAAAATTAGAAGAATATCAAGATAACTTTATAATGAAACACCTATTTAATTGGGATAAATTCATATTTTTATTTTTGAATTTCTTAAAGTTACATTTTATTTTGCATTTATATTTAAGGTAAAATTTAATATTTTGTGTTCTTTGTTTGAGGGAATTTGGAAGTTTTTCTGCTACAAAGTTGTATAAGTTCCAAGTTTATAGTACATTATAATTAATTATATATTCAGAAAATATTAGGAATATATGCTTATGTTTCAATGAGAGAAATTTGCTTTTCTTTCCCCACAGACTTACGAATGGGCTTTGGAAACTATGCGATTTGTTTCACACATGAAAGTCGATTCAACTACTTCAGTGAATGCCCTTGTGACCATAATGAAAAGATTAGATGCATATCTTGAAGACCATCCTTACCTGGAAGATGCAGTATTCGAAGAAATGTTGTTACTTGCAACAAAATTGAACAATGAGAGACTTTTAAAGCAGTGTGAGGTAAATCAGATAACTAGAATTCTTTCAGAGAAGAAAAATTGTGAAAAAGTCCCCCCCCCCCAAATCCAAAAAATAATAATGTCTTTTTAATGCAGTAGTGTATAATGCATTCAAGGAGCCATTTATATAGTTAAATATATTTTTTAATTCCTGTTTAGTAATTTGTTTATGCAATTTAAAGAAATATTTCCTCATTTAGAATCCAAAAAAGTTTTATCATTTTTCATTCTGGTTCAAAATTATGTCTCAAGGAAGTTAAAGGATTTTTTTAAAAGTTAAAGATAGAGGTTTTTAAGATTCAATAACACACCAAACAAATATTAATTCAGAAGTCAAACAACAAAAATCAGTGTTATATTTTCAAATTTTCACAGGACTAGTTTTGATGGTTTTACCAAACCATTGTGTAGTTGTGCATAACATTTTGATACACATTTCGTATTTACCTACAATAATGTGTATAAAAGAATAGTTGCCTTAAAAATAAAAATTTAAATAGAGAAGCTTAATTTGAATAGCCTTAATAGTTTGAAAATTCTCATGAAAAATATATGTTCATTATAGCAGACATCTTGATTTATTAACATTTTTGAACTATGAACATTTAGTTTTTCAAATTTATTAAATTTCAGTTATGTATGCATGTATATGTGTAGATGTTTTATGTTTATATATACAGTACATAAAGCTTGATTTATATGTAAGTTTCTGAAGTTGATTTCTTTTTTCAGACTGCCAAAGCAAAATATGAAGAAACAGTTGAACTTGTCCAAGCTCGCCGTGAAACTTTACAAAAAGCAAAAGAACAAATGACTTTTGATGAAAGGCCAAACTTAAACGAAAGTCTTGATAACCTGAAAACTAAACCTTGTCTATGGAATCCTGTAAAACCTAATACCCCTTATCGAGCAGTGTCTCAGACTTTTCTTAATGGCCTAAACTCTGTTCATGGCTCTCAGCTTTTACAGCGAGAAACAGGATCTTATACTTCGTTCCCGAGTAGTTATTATCCTGCTGCTGGTTTCAGGGAACGTTTATTAAGTTTATCACAGAAGAAAAACAGATCAGATTATTTCACTAAAAGAGGATCTTTGACTGATGAATTTGTCTCAGGCCATTCTCCTGCTTCAGGTAGTGGGGACTCTTCTAAATCCACTGCTTTACGAGGAAGAAAGTCATTTCCTTTTTCAAGTGATAGCATGACAAACCTTAATGCACAGTTTAATAAAGATATTAATTCATTGCAATCAGCAAGTTCAAAATTTAATTCTAAATCACGATTTGAAGATGACCGTAATTGGAAAATGTGTGAAGAAGAATTAAAAAGGGTTGCAGATGAAGTGAGAGAGCAAAATCAGATGTTAGAACAACAGCAGATGTTTGGACTTGCAGATGATGCTATGACAAAGAACAGGTAAAAATTAAGTTAAAAAGTTATTTATTTATTTAAGTACCTTTAGTCAGTTGTATAAATTGAGGTGAGGGAATATAGAACCTTAGAATTATAGAATGTCATTCCTCACCCCATTCTTAAGTTTGTTTTGCATTCAAAATAAATAAAATATTTTTACTTTTCTCTATGCTGTTTTATAGTTCAACATTCCATATATTATTACAATAGTATAATTATATAAAATAAAATATTCTATTTCATTGTACTGTAAATGTACATATAAATTTGAGGTTTATTATATGTAATAAATGTAAAAAAAGAAAATATTTTCTGTTGTTGCTTTTACATAATTCATGTGCGACTTTTAAAGCTCTTTGGATCATAAGATTTTAACTATAGGTAATCTTTGCTGCAAGTTATTTGTTACAGCTCTAGTCTGCCAATCTTGAGATGAAACATATTCCCCTTGAAACGATACAATTTCCCATCCCAATCTAATAACCTTTGAACCAAGAGGGTTTTTTTTTTTTTTTTTTTTTTTTTTTTTTTTCTTTGTTATTTTAGATTTGGCCGTGAAAGATTGCTCAATTGCTCATTAAAAATAACTATGGTTTAGAATATTTTTAAAACCTGCTGTACTATTATTTTTACAGGAAATATGTTCTCTGTCTTCTTTTAGGTTTTTTGCTATCATATATTTTACAGCATTTAAATTATTCATTTTAGAAATTCTTATGAAAGTTCTGCCAGGCATTTCAACTCAAGTTATGCAAATCCTAGTTACTCTGGGTCGAATCCAGAGCAATTTCAAAAGCCTGCTCCTGTTAATTCTCACCTCATGCGTTGTGCATCATGTTCAGATTTTGAAGAATTATTGTCAAGTAAAACAGCTGACATGGAAGCATTGAAAATATCAAATAAGTATGAAATATATATCTTTTTATAAAAATATTGTATAAATTTCTATATTTTAATTTTGTTGCTAATTTGTTTTAAGACACAAAAAAATTTTTTCTTTAAGTTTAAAAAGTCGTCTTTGCACAAAATGGAAATAGAATTGGCAGAATATCTGTCCCACAAATTTCTTTCAGAATTTCTTTCAATCAAGTTCCTTAGCTTTAAATTTATCCTGCAGATACCATAGTTTATAATTTAAAATTTTATTTCTAGTATTTGAGCAAGACTGAAATTTTTGTTTAACTGTAGAATATTTTAATAAAGTACATATAAATATTAAATTATATAGAAGTAAGGTTTTAATGATGGGAAATATCATTAATGTAGTGCAAAATTCCTTAATAAAAATTTTTAGCTGATAGCACAAATTAATTATACATATATATAAACTATATTATTAAATATTAAAAAAATTACTTCGAATCGATTATTGTTGAATAAGAAAATTAAGAGTAATTTAAATTACATTGTTCATTCATTTATTAATTTAATTACGAGTTTAAATTACGAGTTTGAAAACTATATGATTGGATGCGAAAATTTTAAGAATTTTTCAGTCGAATATCTCTATCAATGCATGCCATTGGAGTGTTTTAAAAGGCAGATGCTATGGATGTTTTGATTTTTATAGATGCATTTTCAAAACTTCACAGACGTCATTTTTAGCAGTGGTTTATTATTAGTCAATTAGATAATGCTATGAAATAATTTGCTGTTCATGTTGTTGAAATTTGCACTACTTTATATGTTCCACATAAAAATTACTATATGCCTAACAACTTTAATCATGTATTGGATATTAAAAGTATAGTTAATTAATGCGTATGGCATGAGATTGAAATGCTACAAGTGGCAGCATATGAACAGAATTCATAATGAAAGAGGGACACATCACTGCTAGTTAGATCATAATAAGAGGGTAATTACTGTTATTTTTGTTTTATAATTTTAATATCCTTGATCATGCTTGTTAAATGTTCATTGCCCTTTATGAAAAATATATTTGCATACTGTCCTTCAATTCTAGGTGAATGCAATTTAAATATCTGAAGTATTTACTAAATTTTATCTTAACATGTAAAAGGCAAATATTTTAAGAATATATTTTTCATTTATTATATTATTTTCTAAACAGTATTTCTCAAATATTTTTATTTATTTATTTATTTTAGCCGGACATTGAAATTAATTATGATGGAAATGATTCAGACTGAAAGAGATTATGTGAAATCATTAGGTTATATAATAGAGGTAATAATGTTAACTTTTATTGAAATAAATGTACAACTTATGCATAATGAGTGATAAAAATGATCTAACATTGGAATTTTAATTTCAGAATTATGTTCCACTTTTACAAAATGGCAATATCAATCAGACCTTACGATGTCAGAGGAATGTGGTTTTTGGCAATATTGAAAAAATATATGAATTTCATAACTGCTATTTCTTGCGAGAATTAGAACAATGTGAATCCATGCCATATTCAGTTGGACAGTGCTTCTTGAAATATGTAAGTGAAAGTTTTAACTTGAAATAATTCGTTAAAATTTTTTATTTTGTCCTTATTTTAAAAAACAGTTTTCTTTTCCTTAAAAGCAATAATTAGCTAAATTCATTTTAATTTTTTGAGCACATTAAAAAGTAAAGATTTTTTAATTCAAAATTACTGATTTCTTTGCGGTAGCTCTGAATGGTAAATTCTTGTTTCTTACATTGTATTATCATCTTTCTGTAGGTAAATAATTAGCATGAATCTATCATTTTAGTTATCTTAATATTATGACATGATTATATTTGTCATCGTTTTAGTTTAAAAATGTATTCACGGTCTGCATGGACTTATACATATATATAAACTATATGTGAGTGTATTGTAATGTAAATTGGTTACTTATTCTTTAACTATCTCAAAAGAATGGATTTAATAAATTATCAGAAACAGACTAAAAGTTGGAACTATATTTAAAATATCCTGAGATGTAAAGTACATAAGAAATATAAGTTAATAAAATATTTTTAATTTCAATAAAATTATTAATTTTTAGTTTTTATTCCCATGGGACTGAATAAGTTATGGGTTCTTTAAGTAATATTAATAAATCTTTTTGATTGAGTAGTGTTAAATGTTACCAGATTGGAGTTCCACAAGCTTAAATCTCTTTCAAGTTACGTATAAACTTGTAAATTTTTTGAAGATGTATTCTTGGAAGAATTAGATTACAGAAACTTGTGATTAAATTGAAATGCTCTAAAAGCATTACTTTGTCTGATGTCAGAATTTCAATATCTAGTTTTCAAAAGTTCAGTTTTTGCTCTGGCATATAAATACATCTGTAGAATGGAATTCAAATTTTTGATGGAAAATAGCAGTTGTTGCCTTAATTGACGAAATTACTTTTTTATAGCTTTTTCTAAAATGATGGGCATAAAATTTTGATAAATCTTCTCATCTTGTTTGAACTATATATATCTGCATGAAATTCTTTGAAAATTATTAATTTAATTGCTTAACTCATTTGAACACCTGCCTCATTTCTCATATCTGGTATTTAGAGGGTGATTCTCATGTTCCATGTAAATAGCAGAGAAAGGAATGAAAATACATAAGTTCTACTGTTGTAAGCTTTCTGAAGATCTTTCAGTATGAAAAAGTCTCCTATATCTTCTTTACAGTGAACCTTTTCTAAGATAACCATTTGTGTTTTTAGATGATTTGGGTTGCATGTGGATGTGATAATATAGAAGTTGTGTTTTAGTGCTGATATTTATGTTCTCGGAAAGCTGGTCTCTTCCAGAGAAGATTGCTGTACTTGTGAGTTCACTGACGTAGTATAGGCATTTAATTATCACACTATCAAAGAAAAATAAAAAGTTTTCTTTTCCAAGCATCTCTGCTTATTGAATAAAGGGTATAATTATTTGTCACTTTGGTACCTATATAATGATTTATCTGGTTTTTCGAGAAATGAGAAATTTTTAATATGTAAATAAAAATAACATTTCGTAAAAATATATCAATTTTTTATACATATTTCAGGAAACACAGTTCTATCTATATGCCCTGTACAATAAGAATAAACCTAAGTCAGATAGTTTGATGGCAGAATATGGAAATAACTTTTTTAAGGTATGGATATTTGTTAATTTATGTGTACAATTTATATGATTATTTTTATTGTACGTTTTGAAATGTGAAACAATGATAGATATTTATTCAATAGCCAGACACAAAATGATAAATGGCTGATTATATGCTCTTATAATTAATATATTAGCAAGAGATCAAAAGTTGGCATCTTAGTAACACTATTAGAAGATAAATAATAAATTTCACAGTTTAAATGAGCATATCTGCATATAAAACTAATGCTAATTTAATATGATAATTTAGATGATTTAAATGTATGATATATTTCAAATAAGTATTTTTGCTAATAGAACTTTAATCATATAAATTTGGTATTTACCTTTTTCTGAAGCTCAAACTGTGAATGTTTGATGAAATCCTTTTTAATTTTGAATTATAAAAATAGTAACAAAATGAATTCAGTGAAGTCTAATGGTGACACATATGGTTTGACTCTCCATAATTATATTTTGTGGTACCTTTTATATGTATATATTTATATATTAGATGTTTATATGTATTTTTGGAGTGAAGAATTAACTTCCATAGAATTGTACAATTAAAAATCTTAAATGGTTCAAAACATCAAGTATTCAGATTCTTAGAAATCATACTGCCCAACATAGTTAGAAGCAGTTGGATGTGAACAAAATTTATAATAAACAGGATTTTGTAGATCTCGAAACTGATGCATATTCTCAAAAGATTGAACAATGTGGAGAGGTGCAAAACAGTGTTCTGAGAAGCACTGTAAAATAATATACTGCCATTTAAAATTATGCGTTGTAGAATTTCTTTGGTAAATAACAAATTGATGTTGTATTTGAAAATTTTTTTAAGGAATATTAAAGTTTCCCCCTTGTACTTTTAATATTGGAATTAGAAGCAAACATGATGTATTTATTTGCCTTTTGGCCAGATGTGCGCCTAGTTTTTACTTAATTTAACAAAAATGCCGCATTTGTCAAATTATCGCATTCTCAATACAAGCATTATGAAATCATTGTATAGTCACCTAATGAACAAGTACCAATAATCTTACCAAGTTTTTTGTACAAATTTTAAATCTGATTATGGACACTGAATGCACAGATTGCAGAATTCAATGGTAAGTATTGTGTGTTAAAAAATAATTATATATGCAGCTTTCTTTGATTTGAAAGCACAGATTTAAATTTCAGGAGGATTAGTAATGTTTTCGATTAATAATTTTCAATATTGTAAATGTAATGAAGTTTTTTAATTCATTTCTAGAATATTTTGAACCTTAAGTAGGTAACTGTATAAGAAAATGTGCATTCATGTATTGGTAAGAAACTGAATTAGAGGTACTTATTTAATACTGTATAGCTGTCCCTTCAGCCCTGATAACAATAGCAGGTTTGCCATCACACAGGCTGCACGATATGACAAAGTGTTGGGGGATCCAAACTGATTTATGTTGGCTGAATAGTCTTCTATAATGCATAAGATTGGCTAGAGGATTAGTCTGCATTTATACATCTCTCTCGGTAGTATTTCAGGTGCATTTATAGGATTAAGGTCAGAGAATAGGCAAGTGAGCTGATGTCTGTTGAATGCGTGTGGAAGGTTCAGCAACAACACTGGAATAATAGATGAGCACATTGTGTCATTGTACAGTGTTTCTGAAACCATTTGACATCAATTCAGAAGTTATGGACCAGTCATCTGTCTTTTGAAGGATAAAATGTCTCCTGAAAGGTGCTGTAGGCTAACAAATCAGAGTACATGATATGGTTGTGCAGGTCCTTGTGTCATTCACCATTAAAAGACAAAGGTGTTGTAGGCAAACAAATGAGTGAGTATACCTGATATAGTAGAAAATCTATGTAATATTTGTCAGTAAAGGATAATGGCAAATGCACCAAAGGACTCATTTTTTCCCAAGTAATAATCTCCGTACAAGGATGCCATCTGTACTTGCTGGAACTGTATTGTGTTGGCAAGAGAGATCCATCCTTTCATGGACTTTATGATATATACATGCCTGTCATAGGTATGTACCAACTGGCTCTTTGATTCGTCAGTTAACCCTTTCAGGGGCGGTGGTTTCGCCTTGAAACTGCATTTTCAACATTTTTTTTTAATTTAGAAAATTTTTTTTTTTTTTTTTTTTTTCCTCAAAACTGCTGCTAAAATTAAATTACTTCTTAAAGCTGATAACAAATGGCAGCAGCAAACCTTTCTGGGCATCCATTAATTGATACGAATCATTCAAAAATTAGCTTCTTTTCCACACTGCTCCTTTTTGACCTATTTTAAAAACAAAAAACCCAAAAAGTTTTAATTTTTCCACAATATATTTTATAAGCAGGCATCAATGAGTAGTGAAATGTCCTTAGTTCACAAAAAAAAAGTAATGGAACCCTTTTAATTTTAGAATGGTTTTCGTTGCGGATTCAGTATGAAACCACCGCCCCTCTGGGACATCGAAGAAGAAGAAAGGATCAGATGACTCAGTCGCGAGATTTTTTGCAGTTGTGTTTATTGCTTTCGGATCACTGCTGTAAACAGTTGCACAATATCTTCATTTGAGTGGCTTCAAAGATGAGGATTTATGGAGCTTTTAAGCGAGGGAAAACATTTTTTATTTTTTACAGAGACACAGAGCACACTGAAAAACACTCACAGTTGTGTTTTTATTATGCTTCTCTTAGCAGTCGCTTTTCTCATCCTTATAGTTCATAGTAAAATAATTGTATGCGTCTTAATTTATTTTATTTTTAAATATAATTTTCTTAGTTTTAAACATAATTTTTAAAAATATTTCATAGTTTTATGCAAGTAATTTAGTGCATTATTAGTTACTTTTTGTCTCATATTTTTTTGTTTCCTGTTTTAAATTTTTATTTATTATTAAAAATGCGTGTTTATGCAAATATTACTTACTTCATTAGTTGTTCAGTAATTTACTAGTATAATCTGCAATTTGGTTTATGTTCAGATACTTTTCAGCAAGGTAAAGATAAATAAGCAAAAGTTAAGTCTTCAATGCTCCAGACGGGCGCTGGTTTCAAGGTGAAACCGGTCCCCTTTCCATAAAGAGGGACGAAAAAAAAATTTTTTTAACTCATTTATGTTGTCTATAGGACCATTGCATGTCATTATGCTTACATTTTCATAACTTTTAAAAAATCATAACATTGCACCCCTGAAAGGGTTAAGGTGATTTTCCCTCCTTGCTTTGAAGGTCGTAAATAAGTGTTAACCTTTTAACTAGTATGGCAAGAAAAGTTAGTTCTGCTGCCTAAAATAATTTATTCTGGAAGATTTCCATGTGAAGGGATTAATCTTGATATAAAGTGAGCAGAATTGCCCTCATAAGGTGTTATCATCTGTAATCTATAGGTAGAAGTTTCTGGATGGTATGATTGTGCACATTTTTGTGTTCTTCAGTATTGAAATGGTGAGTAATCTGCTGCACTCCAACTTGTCTATCTTCTATTGCTATCCAAACTCCAATGTGAAAACAGACATTTCAGAGACATTTCTCTCTTTTTTTTTTTTTTTTTTTTTTTTTTTTCTGGCATGTCTTGTAATCACTGTAATGACTGCTGTAAATGATTGTGTCCCTTAATTTGCTAAAATTCTCCAGTTCTCTCTATGTGGTGATAACGATAAATGTTACCAATTGTAAATGAGGGGAGAATCATTATAGTTTTACAATACAAGTTTTAAGGAAATGAACTATAGGTAGCAGCAAACATTTTCCCCCCACCTGCTATATGTCACAACAGTTAATATGGATAGAAAAGTTTTATCAGAATCCATGTATTCAGAGTATACTTTTAACACAGTGCTTCATGAAAAAGTCAATGCCTCCACAATTTTGGTATTGGATTGCCTCAAGTATCTAATCTCTAACCGTCTGACTACATTCAAATGCACTGAGATCCGGAGCTTTATTAGAAATTTAAATGTCAATATGATGCATGGTAAAAAATCTGTAAAGTTCCCAGTCACATGTCCTGCTGCACCATTTGCATAGTATAGGAGCTGAAAAGTTTCTTGTTTCGTATCCTGCTGCACCACTTGCCAGAACTGTATACTTCAGTTTTCCGAGCATGCAGCTATCTTGAACTTAAATGCTTATTAATGTATATATTTGTGCTTATGTGTGCCAGATAATTTGCACAGCCTCTGCAAAAAAAAAAAAAAAAAAAAAAAAAAAAAACTGAAAGCAGAGTATTATATTAAATATGTTATACAGTCAAAAGTCTTTAATCCGGACGTCCATAATCCGGAATGATGCGTTTACGCATGCGTGTTTAATGTATAACGGATAGTATAAGCTAAGCTAAGATTATCTAATTATCTATTTCAGTTTCAGTTAATGTTGCAGATTGCGTTGTTTCTTAATCTTCTAATTGGATCCGGCTTATTATTTTTTGCAGACTGTTAGAGCAATTTTATAAAAGTAAGGTTGAACTTTCGATTATGTCAAAAAGAATTCTGCCAAAGGATCTACAAAGCGAAAGCATGTTTCGATGTCCGTCAAACAAAAAGTGGAATTGCTGCAAAAAATGGATAAAGGCATATCCTTTGTTTCTCTAACCATTCTGAAATCTGTTTGTCAATTTCACACTACTCTGCTCAGCGGGGGGAAAGCGTCTCGACGAGTGCAATAAACTGGAAGTTGATCTGTCAGCACTATTCGTATCTTCAGGCCAGATGTTTTTTATTTTATTCGGCTCATAATTCCTTACTAAGTGTAGTATTTCTTCTCGATGTACTCCGCCTTTGATATGATTTAAATCAAATTCATCGTCATTATAAATATCACGAAGAAATGTTTAATAAAGTAAACAATAAATATTAAGCTTTTTTTTTTTTTTTTTTTTTTTTTTTTTTTTTTTTTTTTTTTTTTTTTGGAAATTTTGATACCCTTTAGATCATAATTGCTCTTTATTTCATAAATTACGGTTTCTTATTTTTAATTTTATAATTTCTGCATGCCATCTTACCAGATTTAAACTGATGATCTATAATCCGGAAAAACCGATAATCCGGAATTGCCGAAGTCCCGTCGAGTCCGGATTAAAGACTTTTGACTGTACATTATTGTTTTGATATTTTATTACCATGGTCAGAAATTTAAAAAAATATGAAAACACAACTTACGGTATAACTATTAATATTCACTTTCAGAAAAAGCAACAAGAATTAGGTGATAAAATGGACCTGGCAAGTTACTTACTTAAACCAGTACAGCGAATGGGGAAATATGCTCTGTTACTGAAGCAACTTCTTAAGGAATGTCCAGAGACTAGCAGCGATTATTATAATAACTTAAAGGTTTGTTCTTACTCTTAAATAATTTCAGTTGTGCTTCAGTATTTCCGTTAGCTTGCTTATGCTTATTTAAAATTCTCTTTTCTGAATTTTATTATGTAATAGTTATTTATAATATTTGAAATCTGATAAGTAAGAATAGGATGTTGGTTGTTGAGGAAAATATAATTTAATTTAAAAAATCTAAAAACTGTAAGTGCATAGGAGACTTTATTGCAAGTGGTTTTAAACTATGTTATTTTATACAAATTCGACACGAAAATTGAGCTTACGCGAAGAGTCCTAAAGGAAAAAAAGGAAAAACATTTTTAAAAGGGCATAAGACTTTTGCAGTAAATTTAATTTCTTTACAAATAGTTCTTTCTAGCAAGGAAGAAAATTATCAGTATTAGCAAAATCTATGCAGAAGGAAAAAAAAATATCATGTGACATTATAATGACATCATAGCCTCAGAACCATGTTTCCAAGGAATTATGACTTGGAGAAAGCTGCAACGAATTGCCGATGGTTCTTTTCATTGTAAAAACTTCAAGAGATTTTATTGTGTAGTTAGAAAAGATGTAGCTATAAATTCCACGTATAATTTTATTCCTTGACAACTAAATTCTTAGGATATATATTCTTTTCATTGCACATCACCACTGTAGGGGAGCAATGCACCCCAAAATTTTTAGGACAATGGATAATAGCTAGCAGAGGCAAAGCGACACATCATTGAATAAAGTAGCATCCTAACGCTGAGATTAAAGGAAAATATTTGCAGTTATTCAAAATGTAAGCTGACCTAGAAAAGGTGCCAATGTAAGTTAGTTGCTTATTAAGAGAAAGTTTCAGTTCTTGAAATTTTAAGTTCAAGTTCTGAATTAGCTAAATCATCAGCGTTGTGCAATGCAGAAAAAGGCATTACTATTTTTAGACTAGAGGGGGATGAAGAGGCTATTGCTAGTTTAAATTATAATTTTGATTCGTATATTTTTTTATCTTACTTGTATATGTTTATTCTGTAAGTTGTCTGTGTATGCTACATCATCAATCTTTATTGTAATTATATCTTAAAAGATAGTAACTAATATTAAAGTAATAGTAGCGTAAAATGAGAATGTGAAATGTAGAAGATATTTTTGGTATTTTTCCAGATTTTATGTACATATGCAGAGTTAAATTATTACGAATTGCTAGATGTATGTTATGTAAATAAAAATTATGTGTTGTCATTAAATAACGCATGACAATATCATTTTCATTCTGCCTCGATTTTCTTATATCCTAGGCTTGTTAGGAAAATGAATAGCATCATAATGTCGGTACTGCTAGTAATTAATGTAAATGGAATGTAATCATAAATGCATGCCATTGAAAACATACATATTTACATATATGAAGTGAGAAATATGTTCAATAAAACATAATATTTGATAATAACATTAAATTTCACCAAATTAAATTATGGATTTTTTTGAAGGTTACTTTTCGTTTTTTATACTAAAGCTTATAATAAAAATTTGTGGCCTGCTGTCACAGCAGAAATTCAAAATTCTTCATGTTTGGCCTTTACAGCATGCCATTAATATATTCGTTTTTAAGCATTAAAATTACCATTAAAATATTTATAAAAATCAATTAATATTTATTATGTTATTTTATATTAATTCGAAATTCTGAAGAACTTGACTCAAAATTACTGATATGCATTTTATTCTCATTTTTTTCATCTGTGATATTTGTGTTGTGGAAGGAAAGTTTTTGTAACATATTTTTATGTAAAAATTATATTTCATGTATAGGCTGCTGAGGAAATGGTTTGTTTCCAACTTCGACATGGAAATGATCTTCTTGCAATGGATGCCCTTCGGGAATGTGATGTAAGTTATTCATTTTTCCTTTAATATATATTCTGCACTCCCATTTTAATAATTCAATATTTTTCTCCAAAGTATAGTTGTCTTTTAAATTTTAAAGTCAAGAAATTTAGATCTGTAGAAGTGGGATAAGAATTTTCATTATAATAACACAATATAATTTACATGTGCACTAAATACATTTATTTGTCTGTTATTATGTGTTATAGAAGTACTTCATATATATATCTTTTTTAATTTTTCCCCTTTAGGTAAATATTAAAGAACAAGGTCGTCTCTTAAGGCAGGAAGAATTCTTGGTGTGGCAGGGTAAATCTCGAAAAGCTTTGCGGCATGTTTTTCTTTTTGAGGACCTCATACTTTTTAGCAAAGCCAGAAGAGATCCAGAATGTAAAGGCCACGATTATTATCAGTACAAGAACAGCATAAAGGTATAGAATACTGATACCTGACAAAACTGTTCATTTAATAACTTTTTAAATATTTTTTTAATAATATCTTACACGCGTTTTCTTATGTATTGCATCTTTCTTTAAATGCAAGTGAAAATCAGTTTTGAAAGATTTATGGAATATCAGAATATTAAATTATGCTGCACCTCGTGGGGATTGTTGCTGATCTAATGGTTGTAGTTACAGTTGGTCCGCATCATATTTTGCTGCAAGCAGGTAATGTGGACCAGTTGAAAGTCTCTGTATGGACAACTGTCAAGGACGAAGAAAAATGAAAATAATCTGAAGAAGACCACAGTAGGGTTTAAAGCCATGTAACTGGTGATAGATCTATGAGTGTTATTGACAAAAAAATTTCCTCTTTATATTATTTTATTTTTAAAAAATCAGTTCATATGAAAATATGTTCCTAAGACACTTATTTGCTTCCTCATACAATAATAGTATAAGCATTTGTGAGTTATAAAGCATATTGTGAAATGTATTCACATAATTTACTTACATTAAAATGCCCATTAAAAGTTTCTCTTTTAACAAACAAAAAAAAGGGGGGGAAAGAAAAAAAAAACAATGAGGAAGAAATGAGACCTGAAAATTTTGAAATTTGGAAAAACTGAAAAATTTTTTGCCAGCAGAGGAATGGGAAGTCTTTGGAGAGGAGGAAAAATATTGCAAATCTGTTTGTTTTTAAAATCTGGCTCTTAAATTCCAAGAACTAACTGACTTTTCATTCCCTGCAGAGCAATATCAACTATCCTATTAAACTTAGTCTTGTCAAAGAGTCCATAGTTTGGCATTTATAATGTATTATTCTGTTCCTGTTAAATCCCAAGAATTTTTTGGGTTTTATTCAAAATAAGACTTAAAAATAGAGTAGTAAAAATTGCTTAAACTGAATGGACAATGTAGTATTAAATAAATCCCACATTCATTTTTTCTCGTTTTATTTTTATGCATTCTTTTTTCATAAACTTCTTTAAAAATATTAATTCAAATATAAAATCACTTACACTTTTGAAATAATTATGCTTTAAGAAGTAAAATAAAATGTCTTAAAGAATATTTTTATAAATATTTAAAAAAATTAATTTGGTTGAGAAAATTTGCCTAAAATATCACTAGTTGAAAAAGAATTCATTTGAAAATTAAATTTCAGAAACACTGTATTTGACTGTAAATAATATATGAAACATAATTAAAATAGATTCTGAAAAGCAGATAAATATTTCTGATTTATAAGTTGTATGTCTGTAACAGATTATAAAGGTATGATATGTGGAAAAACATCAAAAATTTCATTAGCAATTAAATATTAATCTTATGAGTAAAATTAATTGAAATATATTTTTCCCAGACCTCCGACTTGGGACTGACAGCACAAGTTGGCGAGAGTCCTACAAAGTTCGAAATTTGGTTTCGCAAATGCAAGGCACAAGATCTTTATGTCTTACAGGCACCATCTGCTGAAGTAAAGAATGCATGGGTTGAAGAGATAACTAACTTGTTATGGAAGCAAGCAGAAAGGAATAGAAGTATGTGTCAATTTATCTGATTTCATTTCCTTAATTAATTATTTATAAACATTTTCTTTCGTAATATTGCAACTATGTCGTATTTTATAAATTTAAAATTAAATCCAGAGTAAATGTTTTTCTTCATATTATAAAATTATGTGTAGATGTTGAAAAATGCATTTTCAGCAATAAAGGAAAATATTTTTTGAGGAAAGGGGTTGTGTTTAAAAATGCATGTATATGCTATTGGCAGTAATGAATTTAACTTATTCTTTCTTTTAAATTTTTTTTATGTAATATCATTCTTAAAACACATATATTAATTATTATACCACTGTTGGTATGAAATATATTTTTTCTCGTATAATCTTTTGAGCTCGTATTATAGTAGTGAATGTTATATTATATTATATTGTTTTTACTGTGGGTTTTAGTAAGTAAATTAAAAAGCTTAGGTCATTATTTAGCATTTTTAACAGCAGTAGTTTTGAAAAAATACTAAAAATTAATTTACAGTATGAAGGATGAAACTATTTATTACATTGAAATTCATTACTTTAGTTAAGATTGTAACAGTAACAAGAATTTCCTGCCATAATAATGACTCTTCAAATACCTTTAAAATAAATGCTTTAGAAATGCCTACAAAGGACAGAGATATTACGTATGGAATGAATTATTATATCCTTATGTCATAATGACTGCATAAGTCACTGTATATTTGCTTGTGTTTGTGCTGCCAAAATTAATCCAAATTTAAATATCGGGGAGGAGAGCAAAGTTTCTCCAAGTAGTCCAATCTCAGAATGAGGGCAGAAAGTTATATAGTTTTTTGGGTTTACTGTAGGTTATTATTATATAGCATTTTGTAAATGTGTTCCATTCATAACGCCATTTATTATCAAATGTTTAATCACAAATGAATTTAAAAATAGAGTATATTTGTATAAATAGCTGTATACCGTCTTTAAATAATGAATCTTAGTGCTAGTATTTTTATTCTGTGTAATATAGATTACTTTTCACTTTCTTAGTTGTTTGTAATAAATAAAAAATTCTTGCTTCTGTTTATAAAATAATATCTAAAACAGCATTTTAATTTAAATGCAAGTATTTCATTCATCTGATCTGCTAAAAGGTCTTAAAAAGTAATTCAGTAGTTTGTATTACCTTTGCCATGTTCAAATAATGTAAACTATGCTTAAACAGAAATCAAAAATTTAATACTTGCTGTCTTTCTTAAAAATCATAATTATATTAATAAATGTTGATAATAATAAGTACAGAAGGAAAATAAAACACTTTTACTCAAAAATCATATTTTTTTTTTTAAGTATCCTATATAATGTTGTGAAATTAATTATTTTTTCTTACAGAGTTAAGACTAGAAGAAATGTCTTCCATGGGAATTGGAAATAAGCCATGTTTAGACATTACACCAAGCCAAGATCAAATCTGTGACAGATCCATAAGCTTACAGCAGCTCAATAAAGGTATTTTTTCTCAAAAAATCCTTAATTATGAAGTTTTAAAAAAGTAGTAAATAACCACCAGTTTGCCTAATTTCAATTAATGTTATTGATGACAGATGATAAAATAGCTGTGATTGTATGGATTATACCTACATTGGTCATGATTATGAAACTTCTCCATATTAATCTAGTAAAAAAAAAGTACTGACAATATATATAATCATCTCAGAAAACTCTTTGTTTGTGGCAGGCACATTTTGAGTTAATCTGCTACTACATTATTTTAAATGATTATGATTTTCAAAATATGTGTATAGTATAAAAGAAGTCTCATATGAAAATTTAACTAACAACATCCTTAAACCTAGTTTTGACAAAGATGAAATAAATGTGTTAATTCAGATTTAATTTTTAAAGTCATATTTAAATTTTACATAGTTAATACCAGTTTTGCTTCATCTCAAAATTTGCTACCATATGCTATCTCTAGCTTTACTAACATGTGTGCACTGCTGATACAGCTGGCTTTGAATCTAACTGTATCCTTTGTGGTGCACTGATAATGTACAACTTAGTTTTAATCAAAAATGTTTATATATGTTAACACCCACTTGCTCAAAATAACAAAGTAATCCTTTTAAATTTTTAAATCGGAAAAGTTTTTCTATGTCATATAAACGTTTATAAAAACTTAATTATTAATTATCAGATGAAAGATAAAATGGCACAACATTAAAATAAATTTAATGTTTGTATTTATATCTAAAAGTTGTGCTTTTCCCCACTAAGTGTGCTCTTACCTTGGTTATTAGTGTATTTAAGTTGTGTCTTGGTTCAGGAAAATCACCATTTCATAATTTAAATCAGAAAAATAATTGCTATCATTGAAAAAAAATTTTTTTACTAAGGATCTATAATCACCCTTCATATTACACAACTCACAAAAAATTCCAGATTCTCATGAAACTCTCTAAAACCTTCCCAATTTATCTGCTTTTTTATATTCATCTCTAGATACCTTTCCATCTCAAAAACCCTAAATATATATGCTTTAAAGGCTCAAATAAACTCAGAGGAGGTCCTTACCACTGACCAATAATTATGTTAGATTCAACTACCAGCACACCTAATGGCAGTTTCTTCCCCCACCCCATTGATGACTCAGGCAGCAATCTTTGCAACGTACTCATTGTTCAAAGAAGCTCAAATTTTTCTAATATGAACAACTCTTTTAGTGTGTTTAAATACATCTAAAGGGCCGTTCACACTGGGGTTTATCTGAGCTAACGAAGACAACAGATGCAGCGGACCCATTTTCAAAACCATTTTTCCCATAGGGCAGCAAGTTGAAAAATCTGAACTGCAGCCATAGCAGAGCTAGTCGACACATGGAACTGACTCCTTTAGCTCAGCTAAATCCCAGTGGGAATGGCCCTTAAAGGTCCTTATTGTGCCTATATATTCTACATAAAACATATCAAATTATGTAACTGCTCATAATATGTTGGTTTAATGGGAATTTTAAAATTTTCCTTTTTCCCATTCACAAAATATTAATGGTTATGGCATACCCTGTGTCCACCCAGGGAAGGGAGAAGCTGTGTTTAAAACCACAGACTAGTTTTGCCTAATTCTTAGAAGTAACTTGAGTTTAAAAACCTTGTGTCACCTAATAAAATTGATAATCTTTAATCTGTGAATTATTATTTATTGTATAGAAAATCTCTCTAATTTATATCACAGTATTGTATATCTTGATCACTGAAGAAATAAATTTTCATTTAATGTTAATTTTTTTCTTATAGTGCCTCGTTTTCGTAACTCCATTGCGGTGTCCAGTTCTGACAATTTCAACAACAATGAACCACGACATCGGCCTTTGTCTATAATCTCTTTAGGTGGATCTTCTTCATCTGGAGATGGCCATGGCTCTTCTACATTTTATGATGCACCTAACCCTCTAGCTGAAGTTGAAGAAACAGAAGCAGATAAACGAAGATCAGTGGCCCAGCAGTCTCAGTGTTCAGCAGGTAAATATGAAGATAATGCAGATTTTGCTAATTTTAGAAATTAAGAAGCAATTCCAAGAGATTACATATAAATGTCTTAACAGGATTATACAAATTCTCTGCTCTTTTCCCTCCCCTCCCCCTTATTTGGCCAAAGGGTGTTAGACCCAAGGGGCTATTAGTCTCAAAACGGCATTTTGCGTCATTTTACTTGCTGCGTCGATTCACTTTTCAAACTCTTACCTCCAAATATTATCACCATGTATTATATTTAGAGAAACTAAATAATATCCGTGAATGCATGGAATGTTTCTCGCATTGTGAAAATACAATGGTACCTATAGCCATCAAATTTTGAATAGCGTAGTCCTCAGACTGAATATGGGCACTTGGAAGCCCAAATTTTGAATTTCAAATTTGTTTTATTATCTACTAGCCGCTATACAGCTAGCCTTCATCTGGCTTTTAAATGTACTGAAAAAATGCCTAAAGGGAACATCAAATATTAAATTTAAAAACCATCAAGAATTTTACTGTGCAAAATAACTTTATATATTTTTAAAAATAATAGTAATAATACAAATTTCAATAAAAATATATTATAAATAAAAAAATTACAATGAAATAAGCAATATCCCTTAAATACAAATATTAATTATCCTAGTAAATAAATTAACCAACTTCCCGTTACCTTGCCTTCTCTCGACAAAGTACAGGTCTCTTTCAGAGGTGGTTGTAAATAGCAAATGTTTCCCATAACAGGTTTCATTCTCTATATAAATCATGTAATGCTATTTTGATGTTATATGCAGGACATATAATATTACCTACATAAAAGATATTTAAAAATAAATCTTTCTTACTACGGTACATGATTATGGGGGTTTACATAATTTTATATTACTTTGAATGAATTTTGTATCAAATAATTTTTTTCTTAAGTAATTTAAAACACTTGTTGTTGGCCACCAACTCAGTCTACTTTTTTATCACCAGCAAAATCAAGTTTTTTTAACTATTCTACTTTTAATTTACTTTACTATACTTGGAATAAATTTTATATTTTATTCATGCAAAGAGAATTTTATTTTAGCAGTACAAAGTAGCACTTGATCCATTACAGATATACAGATTTATACTATTTCCAACTGCATCATTCAAATAAATTGTTTTTAAAATGCTTTGATGATAATATTGTTCACCCCTAATTAATTACCCAATTCAAATAGAGGGTGAGAACTTAAAACCAGCCTCATTTGTGCAGCATGCAAAGTAAGGGTGAGCCTGGTTTTAAATTTCTCATCCTATATAGTTCTGTAATTTAACCATATATGGGATTGTTAAGAAAACTAGTTAAAAAAGTTTTTCTCAGTTCGTTTATTTTTGTTTTGTAGTGTACGTTTCTTTTTTTCTTTTTGTTATTTTAATAAATAATTTTTTAACTTTTTCCTTTTTAATTGTTTGCCATTCTATTTTTGTTTGATTTTTAATTTTTTTGCATGATTTAAAATATTTGCATGGTTTTCTTTTAATTTAAAACAAGAAAGTGGCATCTTCACTGACCTGAGTACATCTGGAGACAGCTATGTAGAAAATGTTCAGCGCCTGAAAGCCGTAGAACGAAGTGACAGTGTTTTATCTCGCACTTCTTATGCCAGTATTGAAGTCATACCCAGTGATTCTAAAGAAACTGAGGTGACTTAACAAATTTTAATTTTGAATTTTTCTCATTTCAATTAAAGAGCATGTTTTGATTATATAGTTGTTTTGATTATGTTTCATTTATCACATTCATTTTAATGATTTATTATCAAAAAGTCTGAAAATTTTTATAGATTTCAGTGTTTTGTACTCAACATTGGTGTTAGAAATATTGCACATAATACCATCTTGGATGTTGAAATTGTTTTTCAGTACTGTAGAAAGAAAAAAAAATCTGTATTAATCTATATCACCACACCTGTGTTTAGGTACTTTTAATTATTTCATGCAATGCATATGAGTTAGTCAGCTTATTTATTAAAATCTGGTGTTATTAAGTAGTATCTTATAGAGCAAAAAACAATTTTGTTTATCAGTTAGTCTAGGAAACACAAACACAAGTTCTATCGTGGGTGTAAATATGAAACTGATATATTTGTAAAAGTATCAACTAAGTTAAAAAAAAAGTTCTGCACTTTAAATATGCAAAGAAAGAAAATCTTACTGTGGGCTATTTTCCTCATACAGTTGCCTTGACATCTAGTTTCTAGTGTCCATATGAACAAAGCAAAAAAATTCAGTATTTCAGAAATATGTCATAAATTAGTAATGCTTCTACAGTCGTATAAATATTAACTGCGTAATCATGAATTAAGATTCAAAATTTGTTTAAAATTAAATGTCTAAATAAATCAGTTTAATAAATAATTGCTCTCATTGTAATGAAATTGAATATTCATATTTTTATATTATTTACAATTATTCATTAAAAATCATTTTTAAATTGAAACATTTTATATACTTTTTTTTTTTTCTTCCAGATTTCAACTGCAATTTTATCACCATCTGGCCTCGAAGTATGAACAATATCAATTGCATCTTTTGAAAAATGAGATTAAGAAGAAAAGTGCCATATTCTTGCTGAAAGTTTCAGTGCATATAGACAATCCCTTTTTTTATTATCTCTACAAAATGTAGATTGTATATTTTTAAAATTTTAATGGCCTGTATGTATACTTTGTATCAAAAGGAAATAAGCACAGAGAATTTGTAAAGCAACTTTTTACTAATTCCTATTTTGTACATTTATTTAAAATCTTAAGAATCTAATAGAATTCTTTTTTGTAATTATAATATTTTGTACTTTTGATACAAATGTATTTGTGGATAATATTGTGGCAGGAATAACTGCTTTTTTGTATGTTTCTGTTATATAAATATAATACAGTTAGACAAATGCCTTGGTAGTGATTTATTTTATTGCAACTAAATAATACAGTTCGTGACAAGTGTAATAGAATTTCTGAACCTTAAGTATATAATGAAATTTACAGTTAAAATGCATAGCAAAATTAAATTAGATACTGCAGAATTTTATGTTGGGTATAATTTTTCAGTATTCAAATCTGTCCTAAAGCAAGCCTTGAAGTTAGTGTTTTGTAATAATTTCTATTTTTAATTAATTTTTCAACATGTGCTTTATAAACAGAATGAGAATTAAGTAATAAATAAATTATACGTATTTAGTTTTAAATCATATGTAAAATTATCCTCAGTGTAACTAGCAAAACACACAGATATAGTATTATATATTCGAAGCTTCCTGTTACAGTTCTTACCTATAAGTGACCATTCCATGAGAAAGACTGTTGTAAAGGCTGTTAAAATAACTGATGAGGGTATAAAAAATATTTACAATAATGTCATAAGGAAGGTAGTAGACGTTTGGTACAAGTGTTGAATTTCACTTTTTGACCTATTATTACAGGGTTCATATGGTCCTTAAAAATCCTTAGGTTTTTTTGGAATCTATTTTTGGTCCTTAAAAATCCTTAATTCCGACCAAATTCAGCAGGATGTCCTTAATTTTAATCATCTGAAATTACTGTCTGTTTTTACCACTGTCATTTTGAATGTGAATTAGCATTTTGGACAAATATTTTTAGCGATTCATTGACAAATATAGTTAGTTATCCTTTGAATGGATGAATAGGTTCATGGGTTATAATTTGTTCCTATTTCTAATATAAACGGTGGGATACTCCAGTTTATGAGCAGGAGGTGAAACATAAGCATTTCGAAATTCTTTCATTTTTTACCCCCTAATGAAAAGTTCTTAAACTTCTCGCTTTTGGGAATGTGAATTCTTTATTAAACCATTCCAGTTTGGCGAGTTATCAACATTTTTGCGATTTTAAGAGCCGTTTCTATAGAAAAATTTAATTTGGAAATTTTGGAATTTTTCGACAATATTTTTTTTTAAAACATAACATCGATCAGTTTCATTAAAATAATGCTAATATATTGAAATTTTATTCAAGAAATAATATTAAAATGAAACATTTTTATTTTTTGCCGTCATATCATAAAGTAACATTACGTTCCATTTTGGCGACTTATTATGCAATATTTTGAATCTGAAAAATAAACAAGGTAATAAATGCTTAAATTGAGCCTTAGCACAATTCTTAGCAAAAGCAAAATAGCTATGTAGTTAATTTTAAAATGCCTTCCTTTTAATTTTTTCATGGTAAGAGTTTTTCCCCTCAACATGCATCAGTTTTCTCTATAAAATTAATTTTACACTTTTCCTCTGATTTGGTTTTCAACGTATTTCTGATTTTTTTGCTGTTACGGAATTGGTATGGGTAATTTTTCTTTAGGATTTTAGACATTGCAACCTGGAAAGTTTAGAAGGATTTGAAGGCAAGATTTGTAGACCCACCAATCTGGAAGATTCCAGAAAAATGTCTTCATGGTATTAAAACGTAACGAATGCACTTTACAGAAAGTTTGTGCCGAATTTATTTTTGGAGAATTTTCGGAAAGAACAATCAAAGTATAATATTTTAATGTTTTACTTCTGACACTAGAATAATCTTTTTCTTAACATGTTTGTCTTCCTTTTATTTTCCCTACTTTTCATTAAACACAATCATGGAAAGTGTCAAAAATGCTTCTAATCCAATGGACAGGCATTTAATAGAAAGGAATTTTTCTATTAATAAAGAAATTGGAAACTAACAATTTAAAAGATTGATCTTATGTGTCTGCATCATCAGTGGCTTAGCTAGGATGGGGTAAGGGGGGATACATCTGTCCCTGTGCACATCATCCATGGGGTACGAAATTGATGTCTCAGAATTTTAGAATGAAGTGTTTTTCATTCTTGGCATACAGATGGGGGCGTAAAATCTTCAATTGTGCCTAGGCGCTGAAAACCCTAGCTACGGCTCTGGCCATCATGTATGCATTTTCCCACCTGATGCAATCTCTGTGGATCCTAAATTCTGCTGCCTAGTTAAAATTTTGCCATTTCTAGATTATGCTGTTCAATGCGTCAGTAAATTCTAAAAATTCTGCTGCGCTGGGTCTGTAACCATCCTTTACTATATATCATTTCATTTTTATTCTGAATGTTCATATTACTAAAGTAAGCACCTTTTCCAATACATCTAAATGCATTTAGGTTTTTAGTATAACAGAAATCTTAAATCCAAAAATTCTAAATTGAAGAAGAAATGTATTGAAGAAAGAAACCGAATAAACAAAGAGAAAGAAAATTATTCTTCAAAAATATGTATAGTTATTATTATGTAAATTAAGCATTTGATTATAATTTCAGCCCTTGCTATAATGTTTCCTTTCTGTTTCCTCACGAGAATGAAATCACATGAACTTAGATTAAAATTAAATTATGTAGTCTTTGACTACTAGTCCACATTTTTAGTTTGAATTTGACAGTTCCTTTTTAATTGGATCACCATGAGCTGTAGTTGATTTTGCTAGCATAAAAACATGTCTTTATGTTCTAAGGTCTTTTTAAATAAGAGCTTTATTTAAACCTTTTTTAATCTGACTTACTTTCAGACATAGCAATAATTTGCTTCTTGTCTGTCAAGGGTTTTGGACGATTTAACTTTTATCAGATCAAATAAAACCTCATAGGTATATAGAGGGATTGACGAGTTAGGAGATAAAACATGCAGATTAAAACAACTTTCTTATTGTTAGAAAAGATGCTTAAAGAGAAGGAAATTGATATAAATTAGTCAGAATGTCTGTAAAGCTTCAAATTAAAAAGATGTGTAATTATTTTGTTGAGTATTATTGCTACAAAATGTAAATGCTTTGTAGCTTTTAATGTGTCTTAATGTCATTTAAGGATTAATGTCATAAATTGCATGTATTTTAAACTGTGACATTTATAGGATTTTGGGATTGTGATTTTAGTTTTGCTTTTTTAACAAATATTTTTAAAAAATTAATAGTTGCCACGTAAATCTATAATGACTAAGGGTATCTAACTAGCTAATTTAAATATTTATAACTAACTGGTCACCTATAAAAGTTATCTGCATATTAATGCGAGTTATTGCTTTTCATTAATCTTTACATAGCACAAAAATTAAAAAAGTAAAACTTAAGTCTTTGCATCCAGTGAGACTTAAAATAATACAAAACAACTTATCACCTCTGGTGCTTTAGTGACTAAAATTGGAACCTTAAAATACCTAAGGTATAACCCTAAGAACTGTACACGAAGTCATGACACTAACTGCATTAGACAGACAGCACACAACTAACTTTCAAAACTTGTTAACCATGCCTACATCAGGCTTTCAGATTTGTTCTGATCAGAAGGTCTCTGTAGGCAGGCAACAGCCAGTCTTCTGTAACGAATCATGCTGATTTTACTTCTCATTTTAAGCTTTGCCGTTTGACATAAAATCTTCTTGCTATTTACTAAACCTCTAAACTGAGTGTGTGACGAAATGAGATATAAAAGGAGAAAACAATGTAAAAGCTAACTGTTGGTAAAACATAAATAAAATGTCACTAATCTTCTTTCAAAAATGTCCATAATTTGACTATATATTAGGGTAAAATATTTAATGCTACCTGATAAATTTTATAAACTTGATTTTATTCTTAAATTTGTTTTGTAATTATGTTTATTAAATAATGTTTAATAATAATGCATTTTACTTTGTGGATCTATTTTATTCTTAGGATGGTATCACAAAAAGTGAAGTTCAGGCATAGCTAGTAGCTTTAATTGGATTTATTCAGTTTCCATTTGTTGATGGGTCCTTAATTTTTTTCATTAATGGTCTTTAAAAGTACTTAATTTCCATGTGCAGAAATGTGTATGAATCCTGTATTAGGCTTATCATACGTCCTGATTTATCCCGGACAGTCCTGGTTTTTTAGTGTTGTTTGGGGTTTGAGAAATTTATAACTGGTGAGTTTTTTTTATTATTATTATTATTTAAACCTGTATGTTCGATATCGTGTTTTTAAAATTCTCTTACCGACCTCTTAAATTTCTCAGCCGACCTTGGGGCAAGCACTGTTGATTTTGGCGGAGCCGTGGCTACCATCCCACCACAATGTTTTGCTTTGTTATTTGGCAACACAACAGGGGCAAGGAGCAATGTGTTTATGTTGTTTTCGTGAGTGAAGTAACTCACCTATACGGCTTTGATCATTTTATCTCTATTCGTTTTTTTGTCTCATCATAACAATGGGCAAAAGAAAATGTGTATTTAATGTTAACCTCCAACAGAAATACAAAGTTTTGAAATTATGTAATGACAGTAACAATGAGTGTTCCTTTTGCACACTAGCTGTTGGAGAATTTTCTGTTGCACATGAAGGAAAGGGCTGATATTGAAGGCCATGTGAAAACAGCTAAACAGAGAAGGTGTGCTATTAATGCTACTACTTTAGGAAACATAAAAGAGTTTTTTAAAGCCAAAGATAGTAATAGCAATAACAATGATCTTGAGTGTGCTGCTAAAGAAGCTTCATTTTCATAGCACACTGCTAGACATGAACTCAGTTTCAAAACATCAGACTGCACATATAAACTGGTTAAAAAGTTATATGACCCAAAATTTTCATCTGTTAGAACAAAAACAGAGGCAATTATTGTCAAAGTTAATTTCGCCATTTTTTTTTTATACTTTATTGCGTTCTTTGGAAAATGTTAATTATGTAACTAACAATGGATAGACCAAACAGAAGTGAAGTAAAACTTGTTCCGATTGTAAGATATTTCAACTTGCAGGAAGGAATTCAAGTTAAGCTTTTAAATTTCGATGAAGTGTCAGGTGAAACTGCTTAAATTTTGACTCTGTATCTTTTGCAGTGCTTGAAAAAATATAAGAAAAGTTGGTTTGTTATACTGCCAATAACACTAACAATAATTTTGATGTATGGTCTGAA